CCGTTTCCGCCGGTGCCATTGCTTTTCAAGGCTATGGCCGTTAGGGCAATAAATTTATTAAATGGCCAAAGAACACACAATGGGCGGACGCAACAACACCCACATGGGCAGCAACAAAAAAATCATGTTAAACAAGCTATAAATAAGTGTGTGTGCCACAGAGTGTGTGTGTATATATTATACTGTTCATGTCTTCTGTCCTCAATTGCGTGTTCAAACAAACAAAATTAATTGCCCAGCCAGGGCAATCAATTTTGATTAAAGTTGAAGTTGCTGCAGAAGTGCTGGAGTTAAAGTGCGATATTCTATTAGGGGTCCACCCAAAACATATCAGTATCAACCATCCAGAGATCGAAAATGCAATGCAATTTCACAAAGTGATCGAAACGTGGAATTAAATAAAGTGCTTTGAGCCGCGGTCATTCGAGCCAATGGATCATCTATTATGCAACATGGCGGGCAACAGTCGCAATTCGTCCTACAATTGTCTCTCCTCGTGGGACTCCTATGATCGAATACCCAGGTAAGTCCACGTTGCGTATACGCCGCCAGGCCCTCGAAAATCGCGTATACGCCGCGTGCTTCCTAACTCAATTCGAAATTCGATTCGAGCCATTAACAGGCCAAAGCGGCAGCAAGGCGTCGTTTCATAATCAAATCAGGTCTCAACTAAAAGCCTACACTCACAGAAATATTCTATATATTTTTAAATGGTGTTTCGTATAAAGAAATACCTGAAAGTTGGCACTTGCTCACATCAAGAAATACTCTACATTCACAGAAATATTTAATATATAAACTAGTGTTTCGTTAATGGAAAGTCCTGAAACTTAGCATTTCCACACCTTAACAAATATCCTACACTCACAGAAATATTTAATATTATACTATGGTTTAAATGCGATTCAAACATAATTTTAATAAATATTTTAATTTGTTTAGGTATTACTTTAATTTAATTTAATACAATGATATTAGGTCTACTTTAAGACTACAAATACTAGATTTCCCTCAGTGTACAGCAGGATATTCTCAAGGCATTTCAGTAACATTTCACAAAATCACTTTCCTATAAATATTTTAACAAACAAAGGACAACACTGCATTGGAAATGCCAAATGAGTGCCGGAAGCTCGTCAAACAAAATGCATTCTCATCTTGAGTAATTTCTAGAATTCCGCCCCCTTCTGAGCTGTCATCCACACACACACACACACACACGCACACACATAAATAAGTGTATATCCTGGCTAAGAGCTCTTAGCTTTTTACGAGAAGCAATCAATGCTGCGCTTCCTTAATGGACACTTCAACGGAGATATAGGGATATAGAGATACCTCATCAGGGGAGCAATAAACAAACAAAAACAAGGCCGTCTCCTGTTTTCTTCTTCTTTTTTTTTGAGCCCTCCCAAGGATGCAATTTGTAGCCACCTGAAACCACGCATGGGCTTGAATGGTGTCCTTTGTCCGCCAATCCTTTGTGTTGAAAAGGCCAAAAAATGGCCTTCTCATGGCTCCTCTTTGTGGCCTTTGATTTGCTTGGCTTCGCCGTTTTGCCTTCGACCTTCATTCTTGCCGGCACAATCTCATCAAGGAGTTGTAATCAAATCTCGACACGAACACAGAACACAGAAATCCGAGCCCACCACGCACACAAAATTAAATCAAATTTTCTTTAAAAAAAGCGCCAAATCAAAAATCAATAAAGGTAAAACAATCTAAGCACATCCAGCCGCGGGCTGCCCATTTGCCCATTTCCCATTTTAGCCCGGCTTTAAACTCAATATCTGTGGATAATCAAATGATGGCACAACAAAAACACATTAACGTGCCATTTGTCCCCGGCTCATCCTGGCCAAGGTAGTTCCCCCATTTTCCCCATAAAGTCCTGGAAAGAATGGAATCAATTTAAGCCAAAGTTGGGGGGTTACTTTAAAAGTTCATAACTTTGCGGGTTCTCATAGGAAAAATGTGAGATCCTGCGGGTATAAAACCAATTATATGAGGCTAAAAAATTTCACCCAAAAGATATGCAAACATATAAATGGTGTTATTAAAACTTCAAAAATGTTTTGCAAAAAAGAAAGCATATCTGTGGAAATTCTAGAAAACTAAGTTTATAAAATAACCTCACTTGAGTTTTTGGCTTAGCAAAATAAACATAAAACCAATATTTTTCGCTGAAGAATTTCAAATAACTATTTGCATAAACAAACAAAAATGTATCTATAAGATAAGGACTTTGGAAATATTTAATTGTCACAATTTAATTGGCAAGCCATTATCATAAATTACCATTTATTTTAAAGCATAAAAGAAGCACCCATAATATTTAGCTAACTATTTAATTTAAATACCAAACAAAAAATAGGTTTCGATAAAGTTCTTAGCAATAAAGTTGATTTTATCGGCACATCGATTTAGATGCATTGAATAAACAAAAAAACTTTATCTATAAGATAGGAACTTTGGAAACATATAATAATCATAATTCAGTTGGCAAGCCATTACTATAAATTCCAATTTATTTTAAAGCAATAAACAGCACCACATAATTTTTAAACAACCATTTATTTTAAATGCCAAATAAATAAACAATAGGTTTCGATAAAGTTCTTAGCAATAAAGTTGATTTTATTTGGCGCATTTAAATAATCCTTTATTTTCCGGCCTGACAAGTTTGGCATTTTTCCAATTCATTGGCATTCACTTTCAAAGCGGAATTTTCACCAGCCGTTTTGGCCTCCTGCAGTTCTCTGTTTTCACAATTCCACAATTATTTTGTTTATGGAAATATTTGCTATCAAACGAAATGCAAATGTTTTGTAGTCTTGATTACACTTCAGCTTTGATAAATGAGATTGGGGAATTTTATTTGCATTTTGCGCAGCTATGCACTATTCAAACTAAAGACTTAAAGTGCAGAAAAATGGCCAACGAATGATTGGTGAACCCTTCTTGGCCAGAACTTATGGCCATCTGGCCAGCGTTTGTGCCGCGTTCAATGGCCGGAAAAAAGCAAGAGAGGAATGAACCCGTCCGTCGCCGCAAACCGCAGAGAAGTGCGAAACATCCTTTGGGGGCAGGTCAGAGTTGATTGTATGCAGTGGCACGTTGGAGCTTCTGGCCGGGTCATAACTGATTGGTCACTAGCTGGGTGTGTGTGTGTGTGATGGCCAGGATGGTGTGGGCCAAGCTCGTTAATTTCGCCACGCACTCGCAGTCATCGTCCTTGGTCCTCGAATGGGCCCCAAGGTGCCATTTCTGAGTCAACTCCGCTGCCGGGAGCCACTTGACCCCAACTATTCTTAACCCTGACCCCTGAATATGCAACGAAATCTTCCGAAATGAGCTGCCAAAACAATGGACAAACCAGTTAATTAAATCTCCCACAGGTCTTCTTTGTCCACAATTTTAAGCTACTCCTTTGATTACTTCCAACCCAATGTCTCCGGGCAGTCAAGTGCAAAAAGATCCTGCACAAGTATTTGCTCAACACTTATGGTGCGGCTGACTTGAATATTCAGACTTTGAGACGCCAAATGCAAAACTCGAGAAGCACATAAAAATATATATATATGGTATATATGGCACCCCGCACACACAATTGTGCAAAAAAAACTTAAGCCACATATTTTGTTGCTCATACGCCATGTGTGCCCGAGTGGTTAAAACTCGTTATGCACTCGAGGCAGCAGTGTTGCAGCTGCAGTCAAGGGTTATCAAATATGAAGAGTACGAGGAAGATCAGCAGGCAGCTCAGGGAATCGAAGAGGGCATGCCCTATACCTAAGTTTGGAAATATATATAAGCAGAGATACAAATAAATCCTCCTTTGATCTAATTCAGTAAAACATCAATGGCTATGCTTCAGACACAGATAGATAGTCATTGATGGAAACCCATTCACGGCGCACTTTCCCAGGGAAAAGCCATTGGCAGACGCCATTCGTCCTTGAGAGAGGGATGGTGGAGGGGGAGGGTGGAGAGGGCAAAGGGCGGACAGGATAGTCACGTGTGTGCAGGGCTGCCATGTGCCCCTGTCTTTTTTCCCCGCTCCACCTCATCCCTTCAGTACTTACCAGATACTTAGCTGCACGCACCAACTATAGACTTACACCGAAAGAAAAGCTCCTTCGTAAAATGAAAAATTAAATTATTGATAAAATTGGCTACGAAAATACACATAGAGAAAATCAGCTGTACTAAAGAGCTTTATTACAGAAAACTTTAAAGTAAAATGGGAATCCGCATTCTGTAAATAAAATTAAATTGATAATATAATCTTATTATACCAATATTTAATTAATATTTAACGTCTTAATATATTTGAAAATATCTTATACATTTATAAGCTTACTGTTTATTTTATTTGAAGGAAAAGCAATCTTAAGGTTAAAATTTATAATCAAACTAATAAGTTGTTAGGCTAACCTAACCTAATGACTTGTTGCTCAGCTTGACTTAATAAATAAAATATTATTTGCTTTGAAATGCTGCCTGTAATATTCTTAAATAAACAACCAGTAATAGCCTTGAACATGTTTTATTAATTGCAAATTGACCGCTTTATTTCCTATCATAATATTCTTTTGAAATATGAAAAGCATTTTGTAACCATGTACTGAACTTTCTAAAGAGTTTGAACAACATTGAGTAAAACTGTTTTAAGCAGTGGCTTCTTAAAACTCTATATTTAAAAGAATTTTACACATAAGTATCGATTTATTTTTCTCTTAATATGTTCCATAATTTTTCCGAGTGTAATGTAATAAGGCACAGGGAAGTGTGCAGCCATCTGCGTCACTTAATGTGATAAGTAAGCGCATCAATTGTCAAGTGCAGCGAGTTGGGGTTCTGGAAACGGGGAAACGAGAACTCGATTGTCGGGGGGATAAAGGCGTGATGGGGAACAAGGGTCCTTTGCCAAAGGCTTTGTTCGACAACTCAATTTAGAAACTCAATCATCAGTGCCCCCTTTTCGCATTTCTTTGCAGAGTTCGTGTGGAGTACTATGTGAACGAAAACACATTTAAAGAAAGACTGCAACTCTATTTCATTAAGAATCAGCGTTCAAGTAAGTACCCGCCAGCCAAGTGTTGTCTTTGAATCAACCAAAATGATCGACTTAATTACAACAATCAACTAGGTAGTATTTAATTGAATTTGATTAGTGGCGGGATGGATGGGAAACCGGTGAATCGGTGTATCCTGCCAGGATACAAGCACAAACACATAAACAAACACACATAGATACAGATAGACAGACAGACAGACGGACCAACGAATGACATTACAAAAGGAGAATTCGATAATCTTGGGTAAATATTGATTTGGGAAGGAAATAATTGAACAGGTAAACAGGTTTCCTTGGGGCCAAAGGGAAAACCCACTCGACAAACAATCGTAGACAGTGTAATTCACTCAACTGACCCAAATTCTAACGCATTTGCTATTCCCTTATCCAAAAAAAAGGCCTGCGCATACGAATCGCCGATTTATTCTTTAAGTTACTGTCGTGTGTTCTCTACATAATACGTGTGATATTGGATAAAAATCCAACATTTATAACATGGTGAGTGACCCTCGTCTATCGTCTGAAACAGCTCTATGATTGATTATATATCCCAAATCCATTCAAATAGCCATGGCTGCGAAGTGGGCAACAAGACGGAGTTCATCATCTCGGCCAAACTGACGGAGGAGGAGTTCCAGGAGAACCCCATCATCAACTGGGACGCCATACTCTGGGTGAATCGGCCAACAGTGCTCTGGGTCCTCCAGCTACTTCTGGCCATGGTGTCGCTAACGCAATCCTTGGTTCTCACATATCTAGGCTATAAGGTATCCAGACCACATAACCCTTGTTTGTATAGGGATCCTAACTACTTTCTGTTAATTTCAGGGCAACATCTGGCAACAGATACTCTCATTTCACTTTATACTAGAATTAGTAACGACAATACCCTTTGCACTTACGGTAGGTTCTTAAAGAGGTCCTTAAAGCGGATTTATCAGGTGGTTAACCATTTCAGATTGTTCATCCTCCGCTGCGGAATCTGTTCATTCCCATTTTCCTCAACTGCTGGCTGGCCAAGCGATCGCTGGAGAATATGTTTGTAAGTTAAAGTGTTATAACTAAAGCAATCCTGGGTGTATCTTATGTTTTGGATCCCACAGAATGACCTCCATCGTGCCATGCAAAAGTCTCAGTCGGCGCTTTCCCAGCAGTTGACCATTCTATCAGCCACTTTGCTGTGTTTAGTCTTTACAAGGTATTGGGATCCCCATATATCATGAAGTTTAACCCCTAAACTATATATCTCCAATTTATCCCCAGCGTTTGTGGCATCCAGCACTTTCAGCGCGCTGGTCATCGACATTTGAATCTCTTTCAGAGCACCTACTATGTGGTTGTGACCTTCTCCACAGTGGGATATGGTGACTTTGTGCCGGACATTTGGCCCTCGCAGCTCTATATGGTCATCATGATTTGTGTCGCCCTCATTGTGCTTCCCACGCAGGTGAGTTCATCGAGGGATCCTATGGTTTTAATGCCTTAGGTTGCCCAAAGCCAAATAGTTCCGTTTAGAAGCCATCTTATGACCGGGCAAAAAAGCCACATCAAATATTTATCCTTCATAAGCCGGGACGAACCTTATTCCCATTCATCATCTTCATCGAACTGGGGGGAGGGTCGACTTTGGTCATCAATCGATATTAATAAATAGAGGGGATGCTGCCGATGGAAATTGCTCACCATTTGCCCAGTGACCCCATCCCATGACCCGGCTGTCTGACTGACTGACTGCCATGTTCAACAATTTGCAAACAATTGTTTTATCAACAAAAACAAACGCTGAACAAGCAGCAGCAGCAGGAGAAGAGATTCCATGGAGAAATGCGAGATGGGATGGAACCTGAAAACCGAAATAAGGAAATCTAAATACCCTTAAGTGATAGTAAATAAAAATTAGGTATTATTTACTACGAAGAGAAAGGTTTAGAATTACAAAGAAGATATATATTAAAAGCATTTAAGGCCGATTTCTCAATGTCAGGTTAAGGTTCAAGTCTGTTATCTGTCAGGAAAAATTAACAGAAACTGGAATTGTTTGGTAAGACAGTGACCATGATAATTGTTAGTAAACTTAAAACATTTCAAGGTTGTTTTTAAAATAGTTCTAAAAAGTATGTAATAAGTTTACAAGATATAGGTTTCTAACAGATAGAGTATAAGAATACGACTGACCAAAGGTCTCTTGGCCAAACGGCAAACAACAAGAGCATCCATCAAAACAGTTTTTCTACCTTTTTCTGGCATAGTTTGCCTTGTGGAATGGGTTTTTGTTCTCCCAGTACTAAAAGTAGCAAGTGCATGTCAATATGCTGCAGAATTTATGACTTTCAGGACTCAGGACCCGCCCCTCAATAAAAACAACAAGTTGCATGCGTTTTTTGAACAAAATGTTGCAAAAATTCAAAGAAGCCACAGCACTTAAATTTAATTGAATTTATTCAATTCCAGCAATCGAATTTCCTCAACAGAAGCTATCAATAGGCAACTATGTATTTTTATTATGATAAAAATACCTTAAACAATGTTAGATTTCAAGGCTTAACCAGATAAGTTAAGGTTAAGATGCCAAAGGTTATTGGTGGAGTTTTATTTTAATGTTTAAAGGCTCACCTACTCAACCTATGCTTCGGTTTTATGGGGTCATTAAGCAGCAAGGTCACAATAACCTTTAAGAATCTGCACATAAAAATATTCTTTTAAGGTGTCCTCTACTTAAACTCCAGGTCAGTTTTTATGGGATAGTTAAGCATAAAAGTATAACATGTGGTAAAAGGCTTAAGGCAAGTTTAATACCAAAGTATAAGAAAACCAAAGAGATATTAAAAAAAAAATGATGTAAACGAGGCCACAAAAATAGTTTTAAGTATAGGGCTTAACTTTAATGCGAACCTTAAAGAAAAGGACCTTTCAGAACTTAATGTCAACATGAAACGCTTAAGAGATGATGTTTTCCCGTTGTGATTGATGGTTCTATTAGTTAATAACTTACCCTATTTTCTATATAGTTTGAACAGCTGGCCTTCACGTGGATGGAGCGCCAAAAGCTGGGCGGCAGCTACAGTTCCCATCGTGCCCAAAGTGAGAAGCACGTGGTGGTGTGTTCCACCACCCTGCACGCAGATACCATCATGGACTTCCTCAACGAGTTCTACGCCCATCCACTTCTGCAGGACTTCTATGTGGTACTCCTCAGTCCCATGGAGCTGGACACCACGATGCGGATGATCCTGCAGGTACCCATTTGGGCGCAGCGAGTCATCTACATTCAGGTAAGCCTGCTCCTTAATCCAGCTTAGCTAAACACGAGCTAGAAAACCCATGCTTTTTTTAGGGATCCTGCCTGAAGGATGGCGACTTGGCACGCGCCAGGATGAATGAGGCGGAGGCGTGTTTTATCCTGGCGGCCAGAAACTATGCGGATAAGACAGCTGCCGACGAGCACACCATCCTGCGATCCTGGGCTGTCAAGGATTTTGCACCGAATGTACCGCAGTATGTGCAGATTTTCAGGTGAGTGATAGAGAAATCTCCTTTGGTCCATTCCCGAATAATTCGTGCTTTTTTTTCCTCTGACATTTGCAAATGCCATCGCCAACCAATCGCACATCCTGCGGAATTTCCATTTCGCATTTCCGCTTTCCGCAGGCCCGAGCACAAGCTGCATGTGAAGTTCGCGGAGCACGTGGTCTGCGAGGACGAGTTCAAGTACGCCCTTTTGGCCAACAACTGCACCTGTCCCGGCGCCAGCACCCTGGTCACCCTGCTGCTCCACACATCCCGCGGACAGTACGTATACGCATGGTGGACATGCAAAAAGTTCTCTATCCGCCGTGCGTCATCGGCTCGCTTGGCTGGTCGGGTCAGGTCACAGCCGCCTGATTGCTCATTCAGACGTTCTTCCTCCGGCTTTTTGTGTGTATTTTTTATGATGTGGGGCGGCTAATTTAGTTAACTGGCGGTGGGCGGTTAAAGCGTCCTAAGCTGCATGGTAATGTCATGATTCAGAGGTTACTTTTTGCTCATTGAAAGTTGTTTCCTTGTGACAAGTCGCAGAAGTAATGGGGTAAGAATATATCAAAATATATATAATCCCCAAAACTGCGCATTAAAACTTAAGTAAATTTAACTCCTGGTTAAATATTTTATTTTTAAGTTATGCGGAAGGTAATTAAGATAATATTAATTTAAATTCCAAATGCACGAATTAAAATTATAAACATATAAATATTTTCTTATATAAAGGGTTTATCTTAAATATATTATATTATTTTTTAACAAAGATATTTTTTTAAATAATATTCTAATCAAGGTTGAAAATCTCTGTCATAATAACAATAATAACTAATTTGCAGTCTTACCAGGAAGATAAATTTAATTTATTTAAAATATTTAACCAATCCATGATTAAGTATAGTTAACCTTAAAAAGCATTGATCTTGGTGTAAAATTCATAGCATACTTATTGGCGTCATTGTATTTGACATTTTTTTGCATCCAATAATTAAATATTTATAAATCAATCAAATGCACACAAAAAGTGTCTCTTAACTTGTTAGACTAAAAAGAGATAAAATCACTCTCTAAATGGAACTGCAAATGAACCTAGGATAGGAAGAAAATACATTCAGTTTTAATGAGTTCACCGCAAACAACCGGATTAGTTCGCCTTCCTTTATCTCTGGCTGTTACATGACAGGAATTCAATTTAAAATTCCAGGTTTAATTAAAAGCATTTCGTGGACAGGCCAAAGTAAAACGAAAAACTTTAGCCGCCCTTTGGAAGTGTGAAAATTAGCGGGGGGTAGAGTTCAGGTAAAGGTGGTTTTGCGGAAACCTTCAATTAAATGCGGCTTTTCAGTTGTAGTTTCCATGAGCTGTGGTCGCATGGCATGAAAAGCCGGGTTAATCAGATGTCAGCGAATAGCTAATTAGGGCAACAACTGAGCCGTGACCCCTGCATTTCACATGAGCCTAACCCGAGACACTTCTCTCTATGAATACCATCTACAGGGAGGGCCAGCAGAGTCCAGAGGAATGGCACCGACTGTATGGCAAGTGTTCCGGAAACGAGATCTACCACATTGTCCTGGGCGACAGTCGATTCTTCGGGGAGTACGAGGGCAAGAGCTTCACCTACGCCAGTTTCCATTCGCACCGCAAGTGAGTGTGTCCCGAAATTCGTGTTCAACCCACCCAATCCATTCAATTCCATTCCGTATTCCCCTCCCCCCAGATATGGAGTGGCTTTGGTGGGCGTTCGACCGGCGGAGCTGCCCGAATTCTACGAGGAGACCATCCTGCTGAATCCCGGACCCAGGCACATTATGAAAAAGGATGACACGTGCTATTACATGAGCATCACCAAGGAGGAGAATTCCGCCTTTGTCGTTAATCAAAATCAAACATCGGACCCAACGGCGGGGGCGAAAGAGGGGGGCGGGGCCGGGGGAGGTCCCTCCTCTTCTGCCTCCCCCCACCCCGCGGCAGCAACTGGTGGGTAGACCCTCTCTATAAGACCTTGAGTGTGCCAGTGTGTGTGTGTGTGTGTGTGTGAGGTTTACCAATTTAAAATTCAAGCGACTGAATGAACAAACTACCATATATATCCATTTACATACAAACATCAATATGATATATATAAATTATAAGCTTTCCTTATTTAGCAACAAGTTCTTGCTCCGTCTCTCTCTATCTATCTCTCTCTCTATCTTTCTTATAACATTTTTCCTTATTTCTGAGGCTGAGTTGAAAGTTTTCTTTGGTCGTTTTCCCCTCGATTTTTCATTTCGTTTTTGGTTTGTCTGAATGAAAAGAAAACGCTTTAAGTGTGTGTTTTTTGTGAGCGAGTCCGCCTCGAATTAACGTTAATCATAATATTCGCCTTGCCCGATTTGGTTTTCTTTTCTGTGATTGTGAAACGTTTTACCTCAATCATTTTGTTTGGGTTCCACTTTGTTAATTAATATATTCCTACGAGGCAGTAACTTGACCGCTTTATTATCTTTACAACATTTATGTATATGAAAACCAATACAGCGTTTGAGAAATAGAACGAAAAACACGCTTTAAGGTCCTAGAGGCAATGTCCTTTAGTTGAAACTTAGATCTCACTTAGGATTGGATAATTTTAGGCTAGATTATGTCTTTAACATCACAGACACACACTAACACTACGCCTTAGTTTTACAACACTACATTCAAACTCCTTTACCGTTAGAAAAATGAGTAGCCCACCGTTTCCGTTTCCGCTTTTGATCAATTAACGTGGTATAATGAAATATATCATATTTCATGTCCTAAGAACAGAAGGTACAAATGTAAATGGTTGAAATTATTTCAATTTGATCAAATTTGGAAACAAAAAAGTGGCTGATAGGGTAACCTCTCTCATAGTCTCCACCAAAACACACCACATAAACACTAGTTTGATCGTTTAATGTTATGTATGAATGTCGCCTAAGTACAACAATGAAAATAAAACTACATCATCAACTATGACAACAGCCAATCCAACTACAACAACAACAATAACAACAACAACAGTACAAGCAACAACAACAACAACAATTAGCACAACCTTCACATCATCAACATTACTATCAGCATCAACAACAACAGCAACAATAAATGCAACCTCAACCGCCGCAGCCGCACCACCACCAGTGCCGTCTGTTTGTGTGCGTGTGCCCCACAGTCCCAGTTACGATAGTGGTGGTGGCACCACTAATACCGGCACCACCCACTTGCAACCGTATCCGTATCCGCAATCGTATCCGCAAACGTATCCGCAATCGCATCCGCCAATGCAAACACCAGACAGTGGCGAGTTTGCATCACTATTTGTGCGTGAGTGTGACACCAGAAATACCGAAATCCCAAGCGAACATCTTAAAAAAAACTAAAAAACCCGCATCTTTGGAATCAAACCTAACAAAAAATGAAGCAAATCACAAATATTTCGTTCACGTTCTTTGCCTAACTCTATCACTCACCAAAATCCGATTCAGCTTCCCCCATCCAAGCTATATCTTTCGCCGTTTCTCTCTCCCTGTCTCGATTTTGGAGCCTGAGCTGCTTTTATAACCCCCCCACCCATATAGCTCACATTCTCCACTACCCATGTCAAAACACATTTCCGTCGCCATTAAAATCCGTTTCTGCATTCCTTTTTTCTCACATACACGACTCAAATAAAAAACCCATACATGAACTTTAGGGTGGACCATTGAACAGCAAAATGTAAAGAACTATACTCTCATTATTAAAAAAAAAACTGTTGGCTTATAAATAAAAATGTAAATATTAGTACCTTAATATTTTAAAAATCATTCATTAAATTAACGTTTGTTGTAATAATTAGTTTACTTAAATCGTAACTAAAGCTCAAAACTGAATAACTATTCCTTATTACTCTGTAAAAAAAAAAAAAAAATTTTAAAACACATTAATAATTTATTTGCATTTCAAAAACATTAATATGACTGATTCGATATTTGAAAATTTAAAACCTACTTATAAGGTACTTCTAAATATAACTTTTCTAGTTCTGTAACAAAAAGTATGAGGGAACTGCAATACTAAGGTCCACCCTAATGACCACACCCACCCTGGCCTTGCCTTTTCTCCTATTTTCTACTTTTGCCACTATGCTAAACTATTTTTGTTGTTTGCTTCATTTTTTACTTGCCTTCTTCTTCACGTTTCGTAGTTGTCTTTGCTCAGACATCACTTTTTCAACTTCCGCCCATCATTTTCTTCTTCCGCTTGTCTTTGCATTTCGTTCTGTTTGTCTTGGTATTTGTCTTAGTATTTGTACATCTGGATGTGTGAGCATGAGTTTTGGATGTCTAGAAATGGCTGTAAATAATATATCCACGTCACGCAACAATTCGTGTAAATTAGCTGCATAGAACTAGTTTAGTTTGATGTGCGTTCAAATTAGGAACCGTCATCCCTTTAGCTCATCCCTTTTTTCCTTTTCCGGCGCCCCTGTAATTAAGTAAACAAAAACTATTGGCAGAAAGGGAAAGACAACATTTTGGCCAAGTTGCACCTTAATCACTTTGACGAAAGTTTCCCGGCCAGTGCAAGCTTGTCGAGGACTTTTAACGAGTTGTTTTCCCCAGGTTTGTCTTGTAGATTCTCCCCCTAAATTGAGACCCTACCCCCACCCCACTTTACCTATTTTTTGCCGTTTACTCTGTCACATTTTTGTCGCTCAGCTGAAATTAGTGGACATTTTATCTTGTATAGCAAGCGCCAAAGTAGATGTAATTAGAATGGATATTGATCGACAAGTCGGCCCCGACTAATTGCACTTTCCGCTCTTCCCCACAAATTCAGCCAGCGATAATCCGACGGCTGTGATAATCTCGGACTCCAGGCAGAACCTCAAGGACACGACGGTGACCCAGACGGCGGCGACGATAACCACAACGACCTTGCCGCCTCCTCACCAAACCATGGGATCCCCAAGCATGGCGGGGGGATCTGGAGGTGGTGGAGGAGGGGGCCTGGGTTTGGGCAGTGCCCACAGCATGGGCACCTCGCTCAGCATCACCCCAGCCGCACTGACCACCACGGGCAACCACCTGGACGTGCCCTTCGCCAACAATCCCAACCTGCTCAGTCCGGATGTGCTCAACCAGCGGAGGGGTAAGTTGGATTTAGATAAAAGATCTCAACTATCATTGCATAAGAAATGCCAAAATCAGACAGACAATCTCCACCAATTGTAAATCATCCCAGAAGGGACTTCCTCGTCAGGCATTATTCTTTAACCTTTACTTTTTTCACCAACCCTATTTTAATTTAATATTTTTATTCATCATTGTAATGTATATACATCAATGTAATGTATATACATCAATGTAATGTATATACATCAATGTAATGTACATCATACATTACATATACATCAATTTAATGTGTATACATCAATATAATGTAATACATCAATGTAATTTACATCATATATTAAATATACATCAATGTAATGTATATACATCAAAGAAATTTACATCATACATTATGTATACATCAATGTATTTACATCAATGCAATGTATATACATCAATATAATGTATATCCATCAATGTAATGTACATCATTCATTATATATACATCATACATTATATATACATCAATGTAATGTATATACATTAATGAAATGTACATATATACATTAATGTAATGCACATACATCAATGTAATGTATATGTAATTTTAAAGTTTGTCATTACAATAATTTATTTTTTTGAAAAATGTTCTTTCTTAATATCAAGTTAGGTAAAGTCTGAGAAACAAACATTTTTGACTAGAGACAATGTTTCAGTTAAATTTGGTAGTCGGCCAAACGTAACTAACAACTAGAAGTTGGCCTTCTCTTCTGTTTCAGTTTAGTAAGACTCTGTAAAGATTTACGATTCTTAGAACCTTAACGGAACTTTGAGAAACCGACCATAAAAAACGTCAAATTTTCGTTATCATTTTACTTTTTGTTTCTACTTTCAATATCATTCTTATATATAATAATTTAAATCATCTTGATATCATCTTTTGATTTAAGACTCCCCTTTAAAATCTCTCTGCCCAGGTAGTAGACGTCCCTCGATCCTGCCCGTGCCCGATATGTTCACCTCCTCCTCGTTCAGCATCGCCGGCAATGACGACGGCGAGGAGGGGGACGAGAGTGACGATGAGATCGACGACGAGATGCCCTGGCGATCGCCCTCCGAGAAGATTGCGTAAGTATAGCCCCACAAATTCGCCTTCTTTGTCACTTTTCCTAGGCACCGTATCCACCTTTTCCCGTGTAGTGTCTTTATCTACATAGAGTTCGATCCTTAACCAGATTGTACCAAGTATATGTATCACTAACTGTTCTCCTTAGATTCTAAACTATTCCAAATTAAAAACTAACCTTGAATCTGTAAATCTCTGTACATAGACCATGCTAGTCTGTTCTCCGCAATCCGAATTGATCGAAGTTATCTTACTCGATCGCTAAGGATTGCTGAGAGACCTAACTGAATGTTAACTGTATATGTTGTACTTAAGCACTAGACACCCGACCCCCTTCCCCTAATTGTAACCACCATCCTTTTGAACACATCCAACTAAAATCGAATATCGAAAACTTCGCCTCAGCTGCTTGGGCGGGCACTTTCCACAATCGCGAACCTATTCGCTCATCATGAGCTCCTCGGAGGAATCGTATCAGCGCGGTTGCAGCCTCTGCAATGCCACAGCTTCCGTTTCCGCTTCTGCTGCTTCCGCTGCTGCTGCTGCTGGTGCTACTGCTCCTTCTGCTGCTCCTGATTATCCAGGGGATTCTGCAGGTGAATCCTTGACTAATGCCGATTCGGTTGACTTTGCCACTGCCCTGCCATCCGAGGAGTATCTGCCGCAGTTGCGCAGGCGCGTGATGAAGAAGAGCTACAGCTGCGACAGTGAGTGCCGCTCGGTGCCCGGAATGGGAGCAGGAATGGGAACGGGTTTGGGATTGGGTGGCGGCACACTGGCCAGATTGGCGGCTCGCAGGCGCCAGTTGCAGAGATGCTGCTCCTGCAGTTGCTCCACCACCACCACAACAAACACACCCAAAATGGCGGCAGCAGCAGCAGCGGGAATGGCGACCGGAAGTGGGGCAACGGCATTCACGTCGAACAGTTCCGTAGAGACACGTCGACCGGTGCGTCCGGTTTGGGTCTACGACTACTCCTGGTAAGTCTCACCGATGGGTATGGGTGTGGGTGTGGGTATGAGAGGAAGGACATTCTGCGGACACACGCCATTTGTTGAAGAGTTCTTGTCTCTTGTTGTTGCTGTTCGTTCGTTGTTGTTGCTTTTGTTTGCCTGCCGCAGGACATCTTTTAATGACGTTGCCGCCGTTTACCTTGGACTAAACTCAAGAATCTCTGCCACGACTATGGCTCTTGAATCTCGGATGCATCTGGTGCATCTGCATTTGCTTCTGCTTGTATCTCTTGGCTTTGTTTTGTTGTTTCTTATTTCAGCTTCAATTGTGTATTCATTTCTAAAGGGCTCCCCGGGAGCGCGAAAGTTTTCACCGAAGGAGGTGGAAGAGGAGGAGCAGTGTCTTGGGGAAATCACACTTTAAGTTTTACCATTTTGTTAATTCGTAGTGAATGCTTTGGATCTGCTCGTAGTTTGCATTTCCCTTAACGCCCCCAAAACACACAGTTTCCCAACTCGTAGCTAAAACGTTTGAATCCCAGCACCACCTGCTTGTTTCCCCAATTGTACACATCACCTGCAACCACCACCAACCACCCAACCACCTTGATAACCTGCAGCCCATCCAGCCTTTTCCACTGGAAGAACAAACATCTCACCCAGATTCATCTGCCATTCCAGCATTGTCAAGGGTTTTCCGCCCGTGTCACCCTTCATTGGCGTGAGTCCCACGCTCTGCTACCTGCTCAAAGAGAAGAAGCCCCTCTGCTGTCTGCAGCTGGCTCAGGTGAGAGGCACTTTGACAGGCCTTTGGCCAGACCATTTCATTAGGCGGAAAACCAATCTCTTTCGAAGGTCTGCGAGCACTGCAGCTATCGAAATGCCAAGGAGTACCAGTGGCAGAACAAGACGATCATTCTGGCAGCGGACTATGCCTCCAATGGCATATACAATTTCATCATTCCACTGAGAGCCCACTTCCGATCGAAGACCTCATTGAATCCTATTATACTGCTGCTGGAGAGGCGACCGGATGTGGCCTTTCTGGATGCTCTCTCCTACTTTCCTTTGGTGGGTTTGTAGTGCCTTGTATATAGCTAGAGATTAATGACTTTTCTGGTGCTTAGGTCTACTGGATGCTGGGTTCCATCGACTGCCTGGATGATCTTCTAAGGGCCGGCATCACCTTGGCCGAGAGTGTGGTGGTGGTCAACAAGGAACTCTCCAATTCCGCCGAGGAGGACTCCCTCTCGGACTGCAACACCATTGTGGCTGTGCAGAATATGTTCAAGTGTGTACTAGTACTACTACAGCTAAGTAAACCCTACAAATTCCCTTAAACCTCAACCCCCCTCCCCAGATTCTTTCCCAGCATCAAGAGCATCACCGAGCTGTCGCAGAGTTCTAATATGAGGTTTATGCAGTTCCGGGCCCACGACAAGTACGCCCTTCATCTCAGCAAAATGGAGAAGGTCGGTAGCGCGTTAATCCCACGCCCCTGCTTTCAGCGGACATTTGGTTAATTTGCCGCTCACTTAATTGCAGCGCGAGAAGGAGCGCGGGTCGCACATCTCCTACATGTTCCGGCTGCCCTTCGCCGCGGGGGCGGTGTTCAGTGCCTCCATGTTGGACACCCTACTGTACCAGGCCTTTGTGAAGGACTATGTGATTACCTTTGTGCGCCTGCTGCTGGGCATTGACCAGGCCCCGGGCAGTGGGTTCCTCACCTCGGTGGGTTGTAATCAGTAGAAAACTAAGATCTAGTCTTATTATAACTCTATTGATGACAGATGCGCATCACCAAGGACGACATGTGGATACGCACCTATGGGCGGCTGTACCAGAAGCTCTGCTCCACCACCTGCGAAATACCCATTGGCATTTACCGCACGCAGGACACCTCGAATGCGGACACCTCTCATGTGAGTAACTCGCCGGTCGAGAGATGGGGACCCTTCTCGGCCTTCAGCAGACATTGTGTGCGCTTGCGTCCATCGGTGAGTCCAACGGCAGAACCGAACAAACAATCAAACAATAGCAAATCTTAAGATCCCAGGATCAAGCTTCAAGATCGACTCTGCAGGACACTCCCAGAGACATCTGTTTCTAACCCAACTAACACGCTCACTCACTCACTCGCCCACACTTAGCCTGACTATATCTCTCTGTTTCTCTATGTCTAACTCTATAACTTCCTAGCTCTACTCTAACTATAACTCTAACTCTATAGCCTTTTACTTGTCTCTTGCTCACTTGTTCGTATCTCGAGCTGCGATTAGGTACACACACACACCGAAACACAGCGAAAAGCAAAAATAACCAGAAATCGATAACTTTTTAACTTAAACTTCAGTTGCCAATTAACCAATTGAGTTACCCAGATGAAGACGAGGCCTAATCGAAGTTCCTATTGTTTTGTTTGGCTTTTGGTTTCACTATCCCTCAGTTGGTGTTATATTTTGGACTTATGTTTTCTCAATCACACGCTTACGCTTTACTACTAACTGCATTGAGTCTCCAGTCTGTTCATCATACGAAGTTTTGCATATATTCGAATATTATTAAGTGCATACGTTTACCTGTCTCCCTCTCTCTCTCTCTCTATTAATATATATATATATATCCAAGTATATATAATCCTATTCAATTTGTAGCCGTATATGGCCGAAATGGTAAAGATATAGCTTCATCTTATAAATATACATATAAGCTTGATTGACGCCATTAGCAGAGAATTGCTCCCTATAAAGTAAACTCCTACATACCAAAATATATATCCACACTTTTTTTTACAAAGCATAGCGTGCTGATTCCGAATCTGATTACGACTCCCACTCCCATTGCAGTTTCGGTTCCTCATTTTGTTTACTTTTCCAGTAGCTATGACCTTGCTGCAATCGGGTTGCAAGATTACTACCCCTCTTTAGTTTTTGGATTAATTTTTGCCGTCACAGCATTCATTATCCGATATAGGCATACAGATCAGACAGACGAACCATTAGCCAGAATTCTGTGAGCATATTAGATCAGGTCAATGAAATTTTACTCATACAAATTACACATACGCCCCGTTGTACCAATTGAACAATTGATTTGCGTTTGTATTGGACCTGACGCACACGCACGCAGTGAGTTCCCCGAAGCGAAAATGAAAACCGAAAAGAAACTATCCATGAAAAACTGAAAATACCAGCCACACTTCATACAATATCTCATATGCCTGCCCCATCCGCCTGGCCTCCAAGTTCGTTGTGTGTGTAACTGTGTGTAGTCTAGTCGTAGTTGTTGTTGTTGTTCCTATCCTTGGGAGTGGGTAGTGGTAGCTCCAATCCGGTTCCCTTTGGTCCTTTTTGCGTGACCTCTTGGCTGCTGCATGTTTGGCTTTTCCGGCTTTTATTTCAGTTTCAATTTTGTTTTGTTTCTGGTTCTGTTTCCGTTTCTATTTCCGTTTCCGTTGCTGTTTGCATGCCGCCTTTTAATTAGCTGATTGCATTTGCTTATCGTGCCCAGGCCTTGCAGTTGTGATTTTCTCTAACCCATTGAAAAACTCTCCCATTTACCCAAGGAACCCAGGGACAACCCTGCCCCAAAGCGCACGCTGATTGCTCATTAAAAATGCTTGCTTGATTTGAAAATCAATTAGAATCAGACGCGTTAAGGTGGGGTAAGATATTTTTGGGTTAATTGGATAAATAATTTAATTAGACTAGAACAACCTTAGAAAGTAGACGAAAAGTATTCCCAACAGTCGAAACTTTTTTCTTCCCAGTTCCGGAGTGAAAAACAAACGCCTAACGCTTGCCCAGCACCCTCTTTTCTAGAGTTTTTATCGTTTTTGGTTGAGAAACTTTTTGCTTTCTGGCTTCTTAAATCAATAAATCGCGTTTTTTAATTTCCTTTGAAGTTTTTTTAAGTTCACCGTTAGCGGAAGGGGGAAACGAACCTTTGCGTGTTTCCTTTCCACGGCATGCCTAAACAACCTAAATGTTAACAATTTTGCTAAGGCCACAACTCAATCACCATACCATACACACAGATACTCTTTCACGAACACCGATAGCAATTTGCCATATCAATTAAAAACCAATTAAATATGTAAATCATTTTGTGTTTAACCAAACTCATCGAACTCGAATTTGCATACACCAAACAAATCATGGGCATGCCTCAGTACGACGAGGAGACCGGCACGCCCGACTCGACGAAGGACTCGACGGAAATGCTGCGCGGGGTCACCTACCGACCGCCGGGGTCGGCAACAGGTGGCGCCAGCAGCTTCCGGCCTCAGCCGCAGCGCCAGCGGTCGGTCAACTGCCTGGGCGGTTGCTCGGAGCGCAAGGGATCATCCGTAAGTAGCCCCGCCCCCTCGACGGCTTTCTCCATTTACCAGCAATCGTGGGTCTAAGATGGGGGGATTTTCAGGGTTAGGAGTAAAGTTCGGGTTAAGGTAGGTCCGTCTTGATTCCATTCAGGCTTTCGCAGCATGACGTTCTTTGTATGGTAGCATGATTCACCGCAACTAAAACAACTAAACCAGCAAGCGACGATGAAGCCCATCGGTCATTTCAGCACAACAATAACACTCAATCAGGATCAGCTAGCATATAGATGTATATAACGGGCCTGTTTGGGCCTTACTTGCTTCCTAGTGTTTTGATTGAGGTTTAGTTAAAACTTCATATAAAGCAAGTAACCTTAACAGGCTCGTAACTTACTGCGTATGATATACCCCTAGATATTCTGTAAAGAAAGAACCCAACTCTTTTAGTATTCCATCAACCTGGCTGACGAGGCGAGGGACAACCATGCTCAGCAGATCGAGCGAGCCGAGATTGCCAACCTGGTTAGAAGTCGGATGGAGTCCCTGAATCTGCCCACAATCGACTATGATGATGTTAGCGAGAAGCGCAACCACCTGTCCTATGTGATAATCAACCCGAGCTGTGATCTCAAACTGGAGGAGGGCGATCTCATGTGAGCTACTTAAAGTTCATCAAAAACGTTCTATGATTTTAAATCAGCAAGAGTACACTCAGGGAAAAAACAAAGTATTTCGTGCTTGAATAAAGTAATTTTAGTGCCAAAGCCTCGACGAGCATGGAAATGAAAAAAAACAAGATGTATCTTAATTACATAAATATTATAAGTTTACTTACGACTTGCAGCTCACGGGCATTACCACTGATTATTTTATTATTATATACCAAGCACTTTTAGAATAAACAGTTGGGAATTTTTAGGTTTCACAGATATTTAAATCCAAAATGTGCTCAATGTAACCCTTTTTCAGTACCAACGGTCTTAAAATGGTAAGCATGAAATCGTTCTTAAATCAAGACTGTGGTACCTGATTTTAGCACAGTGTTTTTCCCTGAGTGTACATTCTTGACACTTAGTTAGGGTCCCTACTCGGGGCCAGTGGTCAGTCAACCGGGCCACCTTACTTATTTTTCAATATTTTCCATATTCTTACCTTTTTTGCTTAGATACTTGGTAAGGCCGTCGCCGTTCTCGGCCCAAAAGACCTTCGAGCGACACAACTCGCGCCGCAAGTCGAACATCTCGTTCTGCTCGAACATCAACCTGGGCGCCACCTGCGGCCCCCAGATGCCGCAGATGAACATGAACATGGCCAACACCGCCGTCGGGGCTGGATCGCGTCGAGGATCGGGCATCGCCGGCTTGAACCCCATGCAAATGCAGAGCGTTCAGACCTTGGCCGGGTATGGATCATCCTCGCAGCGCTGTAGCCCCCCGATGCAGCAAATTAAATCGAATTCTCTTTCTCTACCCGACAGTCCGACGGTGGTTGGCAATCAGCGAGGACGGAGTAACTCATTGCGGGTTGGCTATTTATCCTATTACACCCACACGCCCCAGACACACACCACCGATTTCCCTCTCTATGTTTGTTTGATTTGATTCGATTCACGTTTTCAAGTTTTCACGTTGGTTTGTTCAGCTTTTGTTGAGATACACCAAGAACACATAACTAAATCACTTTGGAAGAGTTTTATGCTGCGACTTTGATTAAAAGAATGATTAGATACTAATTTTTCTGATCGCAGCATAAACTCAATCTTCGGATCTCTTAAGTTAGATCCTTCAAAATCTTCAGAAAACACCCCTAACTTTCTTCACACATTAGTCTAAGCTTGATTTTACTGTTGATTTCTTAACAAATTGGCTAAAACAAACGAATGTGTTCACCCCGTTGCTTTTCCCCCCGTTTGGGGACCAAGCACTTGCACTCTCACACACTGAGCATCAAAATTCTGGGTACACATTTCAAGATTCAGGCCGCAGAACACTCCACCAAACAGCACGGCAGCCACTGCAATTGCATCAATCAACAGCAGCAACCGCAAGAACAACTGCAACAATCAGCAACAACAATAAATCATAGTCATAACTCGCACCCAGAGGATAATCACTAAAGCAAGGAACTCATGATATAGTAGTCCGAATCAGATATCAAAATGCCGCATTTCGAGTTGAAGTTCATGTGTTTCTTCTTAATGTGTTAATTTAGTTATTTGAGTAACTTTTATAGTAATTGTACTAACAACAATAGCCAATTTGTATGTGTAAACGTAATTGAGTTTTGTTGGTATCATAGTTGTCTCGGTTTTGGGCCTACTAACCCCACACTTGGTGGATATCCCCCATGCTTGCTCCTCTTGCAGATCGACAACGATATCCTGCTCCGTCGATCCTCGTCCCTGCGACAGGGCCTTCCCAGCGTGGGCGTCAGCCACGGCCGGAGAAAGTCGTCGCTGGAGGAGATCGGCATAAGTCACTTCACCACCCTCATGCAGGCAACGAACCACAGCAACCCCATCAAGATATCCCTTAACGGCAGCATCGGCATGGAGGTGGGTGCAGCATGATGATCTTTCTCGATCCGACCCAGAAATCTAACCCTTCGATCAGAATCAAATCTCCTTGCAGGTAACACCACCCGAGGAGCCCACACCCATGTTGGGTGTGCCCTGTGTGCTGGGCGGTGGCGGTGGAGGTGGCATCAACCCATCCGGAGCAGGTTCCTCCACCGGCGGCATGCTGGGCGGCGGCTCCTCGCTGGCCATCAATACCGCTGACCTGGGACCCGGACCCAGTACCTCCTCGGGAGCCGGTGGTTCGCTGCAGCCTCAGGATTCGCTGGGACAGCAGTCGTCGCAAGTGTCATCGCCACAGCATCTGCAGGGAACGATCGTATGATACAACCTGATGTGGGGGCGCCGACTCCGCTCCTCCATGTCGAAAAACAAATGGATATAGAACACGGCCAGCACACACAGACACACCCGTAGAGATAAGTTCTAGGCAGAGCGAAAGTATTAGGAACCCAACCAAATAAACCCACCCACCCCAAAAAATTAAGGCTGTCTGTGGTGTGTGCGCTCCCGATGAATCCATTTTGAGTCCCCTTAAGTTAGTTTCGTACGTTCAATAGATCAGTTCATCCCTAGGAAGTAACCAATAGATATTGTATATTGCATGTTTTGCAATTAGTTGTAAGCTATGAATATGTCGGCTTGGCACAAAGGAAGCTGCGTCAAATTGTGTTTTGGGAACAACAAATGTAGTTAAACTATTGGATAGGTGGGACGATGAATTAGCAAACTGTATAACTGTATATATCTGATGCCTAGTTCTAAGCATATCCGAGGAGCCAGACGTAGCAAACTATCAAATAGATCGGGCTTAGGCGCTAAAATCCATGTATATACCTTAGGTATGACCATTTTGTTGGGCTTCAGCTCGGTTAAGCTTCCCCTTCCTTCGGGAGGAACTTCCTCTGACCCACGTAAACCCCATATAGATACATATATGAAGGTGCTATCGATGTCTTGTACTATACACACAATTATAGGAAAGGAAGATGGAGAAAAATAAACCAAGAAAGTGAAAAGGTTTTCATAACATAAATTGGAACGGGCTTTGGTATACTCTAATGCTTTACAAAAAACCAACAGAAATATGTATACATATATTAAAATAAATCAAAGAATTTGTATATAAACTATGTATATGTAAGAACCAAAAATGCATTCAAGAAAAACAAAACGAAAAACAAACTACTAGAATTTAATGAAAAACTTAATTCGAAAAACAACAGAATCTAGAAATAGAGCTAGAGTTTAGAGTTAACTACTTAAGGCTAGTTTGGGCCGCGGATGGAGTATCGGCAACTGTACCAAATTCTACGAGCTATATGAACCAGCGTTCGCAGCTAACACAACCCAGTAGCATAGTGTCAGGCAACGCAACCCACGTCCCTCTAACTCAATTCGATCCCAGCTATAGGCTCTTTAGGTAGTAGCTAAAGCAAACAATGTACCTACACAACCACATACCACACAAACATCCACACTCACTTAATAATGTTAGTTAAAGCACCTATGGCAGTTTTATAAGGAAATTTTATTCAACGATGACGATGCAATGCATTCCAGTGTCTCGAGAGAATACCTAGTTAAGCTTATGCCCAGCACCCTGAGAAACCTATTTATATAGATCTGTATACTTCTGTATCCGTATATCTGCAACCACATAAGCCACATAGATCGAATCGATGTCTCAATGTACAAAAGTAGTTAAATAAACCGCATAAGGCATTGGCTGCAGCATTAGAGATACGTTTAGTGCGGACTAGGGTATAAACTTGCTGTAATATTTATCGGCGCCATGCTCTTTAAGGCATGCCGAACAGAACTCACAATAAACTCAAACTATAGTTGGAAATAAATTAATCGCATTTTTGATTATAAGTATTGATTAAGTAAGTAATAATAATTGTCAAGTTGACTTCTTACATGGCAATAAATTGCTGATTGAGAGGAATTCAGTTTCTCAAAATCTTATAAGGAAAATGACAAATAAAAGTTGGCGTAGGATTTGACGATAGTCAAATTAACATCACAATAAGAAAACAAATGGGTCTTCCTTAAAACTGAAATACATGTACTATATGTTGTACCTTGAACCCTTATATGACATTGTCTTATCTTCCTTTATTGTCTTATGTTATTATTGTTTTTAAAGTACTGAATTACGTATTCTAGGATCTATTTATTCTTTTATTTCCAAAAAATGGTCGTAAATTTCAAGCTTTTATAGTTTTCGAGAACTCAGCGTTCATACGGACGGACGGACAGCCGGTAAAATGTGGTAAGTGTTCCGGATAAGTTCAAAGTTTATCGAATCGCAAATAATCTGGCATCCCTGATTCTGGCAACCCGAATGCGTCCACACTAAATGCCTGTCAAAAAATCTGACGAGGCATTGAATGCCAAATTCATTTTTTCACAACTGAAAATTGGTTTTCATTGAAAGTAAGCGCTTAAAAATTGCAATAAACCTTAATTAACCTATTCGTGGTCTTAAATAAATTGTTACGTGCTTTTCAGCAGCGGCAAGGAGCAGCGAGGCGGCGGATCAGAAAACTCACTTCGCAGACGCCTTTTTGCAACGCGTTTTGCGTTATTTGGTGGGCTTCTGGCTTTGGCAGATTGGCGAAGAAGACGGCGGTGGAGACTGCCGCCTCCTTGACTGGGACCCCATCACACCTGAGACAGGTGGTCTCAGGTGTGAAGGGGTCCCAGTCGAGGAGGGGGCAATCTCCACCGCCGTCTTCTTGGCATTCAATGCCTCGTCAGATTTTTTGATTTCTACCTTTTATAGTTTACAATATCTTTGCGATTATACGGACATACGGACATATAGGAATGGCTGATAGACTCGACTAGTAATCATGAATATATATACTTTATAGGGTCGGAAACGCTTCTTTCTACCTACCATTTACTCTACGATTAATGGGTATAATTATTCAATATATTAAGCTATGGAAGCAGTTGGGATTTAAAATGTATTGTCTAAAAAGCACTAGCCCCAGCAGTAAAAAACTAGTTAAGGCTTGTTTCTCTTTATTAATTATTCTTCGGTATTATTTATTCTTCTTTGAAATGGCACACAGGCACTCCTAGTTAGTTAATTAAATTAAGTTTAGTTTATTTCGATACCGTTCCGCGCTTTGGTTAACTTGCATTGTGTGTTGTGATGTGATGTGTATACGTATCGAAAAATAATTTCAGTTTGCATTAAGCGTAGACTTAGTAACCGGGCGCTGGGATGGTGCATCCGGTGGAGGCACTGGTGCACTTGCAGCTCTTGCCGGACGGAGCCTGTCGGTTCACCAGGCAGAGCCGGGAGTCCGTGCATCCGCCGTTGTTGATCTGGCAGGCACTCTGGTACTGCGGACAGTGCTGCTCAACGACCGTCATGCCGTACATCTTGTGACTGCCAAAGAAGGGCGGCTGGATGGGCTTCTGCCGCGATCCTAGGCTGTCAACGATCTCCACTTTTTTGCTAAACAAGACAATATATCAATTAGTAAAGCCTTTCCGGCGAAGACCATGTCCCAAACTCACGTGGTCCAGTCCGTCCAGTAGAACCGATCGTTTGTGTAGGTGATGCCGAAGGGATAGGACAGCTCATTGGAGATGGTGCGGATCTGGCGGGACTGCGGCTCGATGCACTCCACCTTCTTGGTACCCGCATCCGCGTAGCACACCTCACCAGAATCATCGAGCACTACCAGGGAATTGGGCAGGGTTACGGCATCATTGCCCAGGAGAAGCTCGCGACCAGTTCCGTCCAAGTTGGACATCTCGATCTTGGGCGATTCGCGGTTCCAATCCGACCAGTAAAGTTTCCTAGAAAGGTTAACAAACCATTAGTGAGATATTTTTAACCAAAAGTACGAAACTTACGCCCTGTTGGCATCCACGGCTATGCCACGTGGGTTCACCAGCTGCTTATTGATGATAACAGCCCGCAACGAAGGATCCTCCAGGCTGGCCACCTCAATGGTGTCCTTCGAGGAATCCGCCCAGTAAAGACGACGCGAGATCACATCGATGGCAATACCCTCGGGAGATTCAATATCTAAGGATAAAAAATTGTTTAGGATCCTTACTTCTGTATTATATATATCCCTTTCCTACCTGTGTCGATAAAGGTGCGAAGATCTGTGCCATCGTATTTCGCGCTTACGATCTTCTTAGTCGAAATATCGCCCCAGTAGACTCGACCCTCCACACAATCCTTGTCCAGACCAATGGCCATTTGGGCCACCGAAATGGGACGCACATTACGTCCATTGAGGGGAACGCGGGCGATCATCACGCCCTGGCTGACAATCAGGAAGTCCGAGTCTTGCTGCTGACGCTCCTGGCACAAGGATCCATTGCCATAGAAGCCTGAAATTGAGAAACATTTAAAAATGTAGCTTGTAATAAAGAAATATCAAAGGTTTTTTGATAGCAATCGTAGTATTCCCATCTTTTTCAGTCTTTTCTAGGCCTTTCGTCCTTCTCACTATTTCTCTTCAAAATTTTCCATTTCCTGCTAAACCAGTCAGTAAGTTTATCTCCATGGCTTACCCATACCCAGTGAATTTAACCCTGTATTCCATAAAGGGATGCGTCTGCTAACGAAGATATGTAGGTCATTTGACGGGGGACTTAAGGTGAAATGCCGCTCCTTTAACCAACAAAACTTCAGTCCAAAAATTCCCGATGAGGCGGGAAAGCGTCCTACGCACTTTCAGTCCATGCGCGAATTCTTTATGCATCCGCTCACCTGGGATCGCAATAACGGCTATTTCAATGTGGTGCTGGCTCTGTCTATTTTTGGATTCTGCTTCTTCAACTCGTGTGCCCCGTGTGAGCAGAAAAGGGGCGGCCTTGAGGAGCGCACAACCCGCCCACAGTGAAGCCTGGCTGTAACTCACCCTGATTGCAAACGCAGACGAGTCCCGAATTGGTCGAACGGCACTGGGCATTCATGTCGCACAAAGTCGGGTTGTTCAGGCAGTTCTGCTCCTCAATGCACACGTATCCATCGCCATGGTATCCAGCAATGCACTGGCACTCAAAGTTCTCAGGATCCCTGAAAATATAACAGCAGAAATATTACATTCAATCCTGTTTATTTTATTGGGGCATGATATTTAAATGAATTCAGAAAAAAGAATAGGAAAATTGTTATTGATTAAATTTGTAATGACCATCTAAATTTTTTTATATAAAACTTTTTATAGAAGCAACCTACCTATGTATAACTTAAGAAAAAGAACACACTGTAGAGATACTTGCAAATATTTTGAGCTCCGCGAATAAAAACAGTAGAACCAGCTTCGTAGCTAAAGATTTTTGGGACCTAAGTTATTAACAATAAAGAATGCGCTCTTTTGATCTTTGGATATTCCGCTATGATAAGTATTGGTACACATGGTCTGGGGTATATCCTATGAAAAGTAATCCGAAGATTTCGGAAACTATCATTAATTCGAATAGAACAATATTTTATCGATCTGGGGTAATTGTTCTTTCAATATAAAAAGGAAATGCAGTGTGATTGATTTAAATATGAAATACTGCTTGGGAATAAGTTAATAACTTCATTTTTAACTAGTCAAAATCTATTGTCAAACTTACTCTGTGGGCTCGCAGGTGGCGTGGATGCCGCAGTTGTTCACGACGTGGCAGGATAGGGGCTTGCTGGTGCATCCTGTGAGAGGGTCGCCCTGGTATCCCTCCAAGCAGTCGCAGTACTGGACGCCCTGCGCCGAATCCCACTTGCAGATGGAGTTCGCACCGCAGAAGACGATGCCGCATTTCCCAGCCGGCACACAGCGATCGTTGACGTCCCGCTCGAAGTCCCTTTGGCAGCGACAAACCCCATTGTCGCAGAGGGCATTCTCACCACAGTGCTCGGCGAACTGGCACTCGGGGGCCAACTGGCAGCGGAACCCATCGCCTTCGTAGCCCGCCTGGCACTGGCACTCGGGTTTGCCCAGTTCCTCGTTAGCAACGCAGTCGGCATGGATGTCGCACATCTCAGGTCTCTGAAAGGGTTTCATATATGGTTTCAAGAAGGTCTCCCACACACAGGTTATTCAGGCAACTAACAATTTCACAGGAGTCGTCGCTGATTGACTCGCAGTTGTATCCATCTCCTCGGAATCCCGGTTGGCAGGTGCAAATGTGTCGGAGCTCTTGGCCAAACCAATTGCATGTGGCGTTGACATGACAATTTCTATCCACATCGCAGGGAACTGCAAGTTATACAAAAATGGGCTAATAAGCAAACAGTTTTTGTTATTCGTATGGAGAATCTTACTCAGATCGGAGTTCCTCTCCGGATCATTTTCTTCGGAGTAGGTGCAGTGGTCACCATCCTCGGTGAGTTCGTATCCATAGGGGCATTGGCATGCTCCAAAAGCATCGCAGGAGGGATACACATCGTGCCTCTCGAGCAACAAGGGTTCGCAACGACCGTTCTCCCAGACTTCCTCGTGTCCACAAATGTTAGAGCATTCGTAGCCATCGCCCTGGAATCCTTCGTGGCATGTGCAGCGTCCTACGTAGCAGTCGGCGTCCTTCGAACAACGCTGCTTAAGGAAATAGGGTTAGCTATAGTAATAAATTTAAAACCCACTACAAAAGAAATGCTGCTAAATGCTCTGTAACCAAATATGCAGTCTACTTCTAAGCGAACATTTCATCAAAGGTAAGATTTATCTGAACTGACTTTACGCACAGCATATAGAGATCGGAAAAAAAGGTAAGAGAATTCCTTTTCTTGCTTATTCGAGAAGAAACGTTCTTGAAATAAAGTCAATAATATCCATTAAGTTTTTTTTCGACATAACGCGACCTTGATAAAGAGATAAAAATAGTTTCAATTTCTCGAACCGATTTGGAGATCTAATTCGAGAATTCCTTTTCTTGCATATTCGAGAAAAAACGTTCTTGAAATCAAGACAAAGAAATCTCTTGAGATTGTCTTTTAAAATAACGCCATCTTGAAAAAGATATGAAAATAGTCTCGATTTCTCGAACCGATTTAGAGAACTTGAGATTGAATCGATCTTGGTTTATTATCGAAAGACACAAAAAAGTTGTATCTTTTATTTCAGACGAAAGGACAGAGAACGTCATATCATGCAATGCTAATTAAGAATATAACAGTTTATGTGATTTTCGATCAGCTCTTCTATTCTATGCATTTGCTGGATTTCGAAATATAGTTCTAAAAAATTCTTAGTTTTAGTGGTAAACCTACGTAGCATTCGTCCTGGTGTTGGGGCACCTGCTCCTCAGGGTTTGAATTGGGGTCCGGCTGGGGATACTGCTCCCGTTCCCGCTCCTGCTCCTGCTCCCATTGTCGTTGGCGTTCCCGTTCTTCTTCCTCTGCCTGTTCCTTGGCCCGCTGTTCTCGCTCCTGATCCTGTCCCTCCGTCTCTTCGGGATATTGGTTGGGATTGGGGTTTGACTCGGAGTTAGCTTCACCTTGGCCCTCGGCGGCGGGCGGATACTCGATGTTGTCGGCGGTGCTGTTGGACAGACAACGGTAGCCGTTGCCCTCGAAGCCCTCGGTGCAGTAGCAGTTGAATCCGCCCTCCGTATTGGCGCAGATGGCATTCTCGTCGCAGACATGGCGGCCCGATGCACACTCGTCGATGTCCAGACAGACCTCCAGGCCGTTCTCGTCCACCTGGGCGGCAAATCCGTGGTAGCAGTCGCACCGGAAGGTGTCGTCAATTGGAACGCACACGGAGTTGTCCACACAGTCAGCGGTGCCATCGTTGCAGGCATTTGACTCGGGGGTCACGCCCACCTTGCTCATGGCGCCAATGCGCAGAGCTTCGTCTCTTTCAACATAGTCCAGGTCCACCTTGGAGACCTTCTGCAGCACATTGGTGGCACTGGGGTCCGCCTCGTCATCCCGCAGGCAGCTGCGGTACAGAATCCTTTGCTCCACCTGCGGTTAGTTGATATTAACATTTGGGAACTGTTTAAAAGGCTGAGATACATTTAAAATCTTTAAAAAAAATGTATAATAATAATGTATATAATACATTCTATACACTTCTCAATCATTTTTCTTACATATTTTATAATTTTTTTAGGGCTCAAGGACTTGTTCTCACCTGAATTCCCAAAACACGCTGTTCCCTCGTAATATTCAGACTGAGCACCTGCACAGACTTCAGTTCCCCAGGCCTCTCGAATGTGTACTCCTCCACGTAGTCTGAAAGTACTAGTTCCTCTTCCGCCGCCACTGCAGGAACCTCTCCATAGATGTCGATCTTCACGGACAGCTGGTCCCAGTAGTTGAGGCCCTCGAACGTCTGGTTGACATGAAGACTCTCCCCGGAATCGAATTGCAAACGGGAAACGTGTGTGTAGACACCTCCGGTCAGTTGGTAGCCATTGGCCACCCCACCCACCGACTTGGCGAACAACCAGGGCACGGTGGTCAACAGGGGAAGGACCAGGCGGAGCTGGGCGCCCTGCTCGGTGGTCAGGGGATTGATGGTGGTGTAGGTGCGACCCTCGCTGGTCACCACATACGACTGCAGCTTGGCCTCCTCGTTGACGGGTTGGTTGTTGAGATTTCCGCTCAGAGTTCCCGTCACTCGGATGGGTTGATCGTTGGCCAGACAGGACTGGCCATTGCCATAGAATCCTGATCCGCAGACGCAGCAGTATCCCTCGGCCTTGTCGTGGCACTCCGCCCTCTCGTGGCACTGGTGACCGTGGGCCTGGCAGCTCTGGGCCAAGGCGGGTGACTCCGTGCGGGACTCGGCGTTGTCGGGAGTTCGCACATTCAGCTCGGGCGCAATGGGGGCCACTTCGAACAGCCAGACTCCGGGAACACCCAGGTTGGTGCTCTCGCTCAAGAAACGGGCCTAGAAACGGGAAAACCACAAATCGACTTAGATTATATGAATTTAAACAAAAATTATAAACATTTTTTAGCAAGTTGTTCAACAATTTTTAAGATTTAAGGGACATATATAAATTAAAACCCCTTTCCGATAGTTTCAACAAACGAGAATTGCTAACGCAGCAGCCCGTTGCAATTGTAAAAAATTTGAGGTCTAAAAATTCAGTACGACATTTGGCATTAATAAAATTAATTTCAAGCTGTAGACATCTATCCTGCATAAAATATTATTTTCTCACGATGCCGCGTCCGTCGAAAGTCGAATTTTGTGATCCGTCGAATCGGGAATCGCATGATTCAGAGCCAGACGAAGAGTTTATGAAATATTTGTGCAGTGATGAGATGCTCAAGATGATCAACTCAGACGAAGTGCCCTCAACAAGCCGCAAGACCAAGAAGTCCAAGAAGTCCAAGAAGGCCAAGAAGAAGAGCAAAAAGAGTTCCAAGTCTTTCAACAGGTAGGAACGGAACCGATAATTTAATTTCAGGCTGAGCAGCTAGAACCTTTTCCATATTTATAACATGGGGTTTTTTTTAGGGCCCTGATGACTACAGAAGATCCAATTGAACCCTTACAAACGGATACCTCCTTTGATCTTCATTCGTCCTGGTAAGCCATCTTTACTAAATTAGGCAAATAATTAAGTTTCACAACCATTTCAGGGCTCCGGTCTTACAACCGTCGCCCGACAAGTTTTGTCTGCAGGGCAACCAGGGGAACTTTGAACTCATGGATATTAGATCCGTGGAGGAGCTAATGCCACCACCAGGATCATCTATAGTATTCAAGGCCCAACCATTACCCACCCAAAAGAAGGCGAAACAGGTGCCGGAAGTAGGCGGGTCGGTGGCAAAACCATTCTTCGATATAGAGTGGAAAAATTACCCCAACTATCCTCCCAAACCGTCCGTGGAGTCCAATGTGGATTTGTTCGATCCCAATCTGCCGTCATCATCGCACATATGGAAGAATTACAAACGTCTAAAGGAGGGTTCGGTGCTGCCGTCGGAAGCGGAGTGGCCATTGAGTTGTATGGCAGGTCAGGAGGAATCAAAATCTCCGCCCACAAAATCCAAGGAATACCTGACGTCCGAGGCACCTTCCTCCAATGCCTCTGAACCCCAAGATAATAGTGCTGCGGACGGCCTTAGAAAAAGGCCTCATGTGGCATTCGAAGTAGGAGCTCGCCAAGTTGATGCTGTGGAGCCAAAGTTCGTAAAACGAGTGCACTACGAAGTGGTCCCGAAAACTCTTTCCAAACTCGGCACTCCAAAGACAACTGCAGTAGATCTAGTTAAAGGAAAGCAACTGACCGAGGAGGAGTGGCTACAACAATGTAGTAAGATCATCTTCCAACATCTGCAACTTCTAATAAGCGAGAGTACCAAGACAACATGCAAAGAACCAGGAGCCACTGGTTTCAGAAGCGGGATAGCCACAATTCGCCTCGAGGACTTAGACGATATACTTGACCAAAACAAGTCGGAATTTAGGAATCCGCAATCGAAACGACTCGCCTCCAAGTGGACACAGCAATATGGTTTCAAGTCGGTCGAGCACTTGCGCAGATCGTTGGTGCTTATACCCATACCAGTTCGTCAGGAGCAGTGCCTCCAGAAGATCAGGATCCTCAGACGTCCCACCAAACCTAAAAGCGAGCCTTTGTCCCTGAGCATCGAATTGAAGTTCTGTAGGCTGTTTTGCACCCTTTAAATGAACACACATTTGTATCCTGAGGTAGCTGCCATGAGAGGGGAGAATGCCGTCTACAAAAGCATTATTGGTGTGATTGAAGTGCGAACTGGGCCCTCTCAGATAGGCTGGGTATGGCCTAATGGCACAGTGATGATTATGAACGGTAGAAGCAATGAAGAGTTGGCCGAAACCCTACACAAAATCGTAGCCAAGACCATGGGGAATATGAACTTCCAGGCCGATCCCAGCCACAAGCTTCTATACCTACGTCTCTTTTCCGGTGCCAACTTCCCCTGGAGCGTTAATTTGGAGGAGTTTAGTAGGATCCACACTCTTTCTACACAACCATTCCTTCGTGAGGCGAACTTCGTTTACTATGTGAACAAGGAACTGCCCGGGGTGTCAGCTAGACTCTATGAGTCGGGAGTGTTCCAGGTCTTTGCCATGACCATGGATGAGGCGGATGAAATGGTGAAGCGACTGTACTACTGTTCGTCCAGTTATCGAAAACCCCAAATTTATCAGAAATCAAAGTAAAAACAATACTTACAAATAAAAAGAAACTTCGATGTTTATGCAGATAAGTATAGAATTCGTTTTCATAATTATAGTAAGGCCCCTGTGGACGGCAGTCCACGTAGTAACGAATCGCCCCGAGAGTGTGGGGAGGAAGATTAAAACAAACCGGCAAAAATGAAAATCTGTAACTATGCGAAAGGTATAGTGCATTTCTTTGGTACTAAAGGTCTTAGTAAGTAATATATAAGTCGATTGGTTCAGGTTAAAGTGGTAGGGAATCCGGAGAGGTAAAGCAAATCACTCAAAGTTGTAGAAAACACTTTGTTTTTATAGCAAAAAATTATAATCCCCTGTTCTGGACTATTACCAGTAATTCCCATTAAATTGTCTGTAAAGACATAACAGTTTTCACAATGTTATGTTAATTTCAAGAGCGAAAAATCTTTACACAGTCTATAATCACAGAACTCAGTGAAAATACGTCTGATTTTGTCAGCCGACAAATATGACCTGGTCATTGTCTTTAGTTAAATTGTTTTAATTCAGATAAAACCTAACATAATATTTTGAAACTGAATGCTTCCGGAAAATCAATTTAACTCAACGACATATTAACATTAAAATTAGAAATCGTCCCGTTTAAATTAATACACTTACGTTCTCCGATCCCGAACCGTTCAGGGAGTAGTAGCGTCCATCCTCAGCCACGAATCCCGCCTGGGCACGTATATCGGGCAGACCCAGTCCAGCGGTCTCGCCCTGCAGCCAGTTAAGACCGCCATCCGGATAGATGAACTGCACAAAGGTCTTCTCTTCGTCGGCGATCAGGGCCACCTGGAAGGTGTTCAGACGGTCCGTCTTGGAGTCAAAGTATCCCACCTTGAGCCACGTGGCCACGATCACCCGGCGGGCCTCGAACTCTGGCTGGCTACTGAAGGCGTAGCGTACCAATCTGGTGGCTCTGTCGAGGATGTCCAGGTCCTTGGTCTCGAACAGGGAGATCGAGGTGCCCTCATCGCTGTACGAGGTGTCCACATTCGAGTAGAAGGCCGCTATTGAGGCGTAGTCCAGCGGAAAGGGCTGGTTCAGGTACTCGGGGAACTCTGAGTTGAAAGTAAGGATGCCATTGGTGTTGATCTGGGGAATAAGGAAATAAGCTGTCAATATTTTATATATATTATGGAACCTCTTAAAGATAAATTTTATCAAGCTTATTATTGTATTTAAATGAAAAGGCGGATACCAAACTGTCAATGCTTCCAAAACAAATAGGAAATTCAGCTATATTACGTATGAATTTAATATTTATTTAATCTTGGTATCAAACAAATCTAAAAAAATATAGCACTCTTAAGTTTTATCCTAAGTAACAGATATTTTGGATACCAAATATATAGTTTCTATGGGATATAGCTTCTATAGAAATTCCATATTGATATTAAAACCGATTTTATTTCATTCCCAAATATTTTTTTTAGGTGTATGGGAATAAGGAAGTTACACTTGGGATCGTTTGAAGTGGAAATACTTGGCCTCCATATGGCGTGGCAATTAGTGCGCCCCGAGAAGTGCTAACGGGCCACTTAACTCCTAATGGGCCTTCGCCTGGCGGAAACAAAACAACAACAAACCATTAACAGGGCGGCAAATGATCTGACGAAGGGATATGTTCTCGAGATGCATATAATAAGGGATCCGCTATCGGGCCTCCTAATTGAGTCCTCGGCCGACATCCGCCCATCGAATTTTCTAAATTTAGCAGCATCTCCAGCGATGCAACAGGCAATCTGAATAAACAACCCGGAATTGGAGCACAGGTGTTTGAGAAATGCCTTTCTTGTGGTTGCCGACAGGACGGAGCATAAATCATGTATTTTCTCTGGCACCACGGGTTCCATTCATCTCGGCGGGGGAACGCGCCATGTCTGGAAATTCCGGCACCTTGGCAGGTGATTTGTACGGATTTCCAACTCCACATGGATAATATACAAGCCGCAATGGATGCCAAATTGAGGTTGGGAAAGCAAACACCAAATACTTCATGCCTGTTTGCCCTATTTTACACACTTGAGGTGTTCCAGATTTGGACTAGTTTAAAGTTTTTGGTAAATATTGGTATAAATCGTTATTAAAAACACACACGGGAGCTATCTTTGGCAAGCATTTCTTTATAGAATGGAATGTGTACTTCTGAAATACTACTATGTATATGTAAGAAAGGATATTATGAAGGTTTTTGTTAGCATTGCAATTTTAGATTTAATCAAATGTAAGTCAATAAATTTAAAATGATTAAATTTAAAATATATTTATTTTACAGTAATATTTTGTCATACTAACATTATTTTTATCTTTTGCGATACAATTTTTTTGTTAAAAACTGTTTTAAATTTTATATCAAAATCAATGTTGATCTTTAAATGTAATGTTGATGTTCAAAGTAATATTCGTATCCTCTAACAGATCAAACCAATATTTTAAATCTTAACTTAATATTCACTACATTTTATGAATTTTTATAGAATCGACCGCCTTTCAATACTGTGTGGCCTATTCTATAGAACTTGGAAAATCCATTTGCTTTAAATCAATAAAGAAGAGACTGATTGTACTTAAGCGTTTTCTTATCAAAATGGGTATACTATGTAAACTCCAATACTGAAACCCTCTCAAAATCTGTACTGGGGTTATTCACACGCTTTTGTGGATTGAAATGTGCCCAGTCTATTTATACGCCCGCCTTATGGTTTCGACACCAATTTGACCCGGGAGCTTTGGAACAGGCGACAGACTCCTCTGATCTGTTCGGCCATTCCGTCAAGGAATGCCAATGAAATTAATGGATTTCTATGGCCATAGTGCCTATTCCGGCCCGTTTTGATTCTGTGCCGCGTGCTATTTCTCTACGTCAGACACATAAATTCAGTTAATTAACTAACAAAATGCAGAGCAGATAAAAAAGCGTTCAAAAATAGGCGACACTCGCAGAAGACTCTTCACTCGGAGAACTCATAACTTTGGCTGCCAAGTGCCGAAACCACTCAGACACTCGGATGCTGGGATGCTGGGATGCTCAGAACTCAGAACTCTGGCATCTGGCAGTTGGCCAAGGCGGCAAAGCGACATCAATGGGTTCGGTTTTTGGTTCTTGGCTTTTAGTATTTGGTTTTTGGCCTAGGACCACCCCCAAGTGGCTGCGGATATATGGCATGTTGGCGAGATTGGGACACCCGCGTGTGTGGAAATCGATGTGCGACCTGTCATGTCTTGTTTTGCCGAAAATTAATGTCGCCTATAAATACACGCGGCCCACAACAAAGCGGTCTGCCACAGAATTAGAAATATACTTGTCTAGAAACTATTAAATCGCTTTCTATTTGCATATTGATTGGGACTTATCGATGCGAGCTTATCGCCTCGATGCGAAAATTCATTCAGTGCACAATCTTCGAGATACTTTGTAGCCGAGCCTGAACCCTGAACCAGTATAGTATTTAAGGGGGGTATATTACTCACATAGAGCTGATCGTACTGCTCGCCGTAGAAGTGAATGGGCTGCTCCAGTTGCAGCTCGAAGGTCTTGTTGTCGCCCTTGGGCAAATAGTGGATGCTGCCCAGGGATCCCTCCTCGAACTCGTACAGCTCCGAGGGTTGCAGACTATCCAGGTAGTGCTCGAACTGGCCGCTCACGAGGATCGCCGAGCTGAGCAGCAGGCAGGCGAGGAATTTACTGCCGAAGCTCGGCATTATGGCGGGATATATGTAGTTCTTATTTATATCTTATTATATCTCCTCAATTCTTTGACTTTGACACGCGTGGATTTCACAATTTCGCCATAGGCATTTTCACACTAGACACAAAACCGAATTCCTAGAACACTTTTGCTTTCGCCACCTCAAGTTTGATCCAAAAATATAGGCGGTTTATAAATAAAATGTGGCACTATCTATTCAACGTGTTGTATATACATATATAATACAGAGGTGTATGCCGTGTGTATAGTTTGACAGATTTTTGGAACTGTCGCTCCAAGTGGCGGCCCAGCTCCTCTGCTTTTGCTTTTCTGACTTGCTGCTTTTCTTTTGCTTCCTAAGCACGCGAGCAAGGAAAACCGAACGAACCGCACGCCTTGCCAACAGATTCTCGACTGATTGGCCGTCGCCTCCGCAGTGGATTCTCCTCGACTCGCTGCTCATCCGTCCGTCACACTCGAGTATCTGTGTGAGCTGCTGGCCGGAGTGCGATGTGACATGTGTGTGTGTGGGTGAAAGCGAGAGTTTGTCTGGAGGCCCCAGATACTCGTATCCCCGAATAGGATCCACAAACTGCAGTCCCAGCCAGATGCTGTTCCATTATGACAGTTCTTTATTGATGTTTACCATCAACAACAATTATAGCCAAATAAAATAATCAGTTATCAATGGAGTGGTGGCTGACAAAGACATGGAAAAGATTCGGACCAATCCAGAAGAATTATCGACCATACTGGTATTATTCGGAATCACGCTTATTGAAAAAAATGAGAATTATACTTATTTTTGGGCAATTCTACAGAGCGATAGCAATATATCATTTTCTATATTCTACATATTGAGAATCATGAATTTCGTGGAAATCGTGGCGAACATGTATATTGTCCAATTTTATTTTTTTATTTACATTTTTTTCGGTCATTATATTAAGTTTGTGATTAATGTTTAATTTTACCCGTTACTCGTAGAGTTAAAGGGTATATATGATTCGTCGAAAAGTATCTAACAGGTAGAAGGAAGCGTTTTCGAGTAGTATAAGTATATAGTATATGTTCTTTATCAGGACCCATAGTCAAGTCGATCTTGCCATGCTTGACTGCATATCTATATGTCCATATGAAAGATATGATTTCGAAGACAATAAAAGCTAGGAGAAATCGGACAATCCGTTAAAAAGTTATAAGCATAAAAATGAATCGACGCAAGGTGGCGCTGTGTACTCTTGGGAACAGTCGCTTTGCTGCTTGCATATCTCCTTATCGAGGCTATCGACTTTAGCGTTAGAATTTGAAAAATAAACATTTCAGAAGGTAAACTGGATTACAATAGACAATTGTTACTTTTCTTTCAAATATACAAATTTAATTTAATGAAATTTATTTAAAGTAATATCCTGAAGGCATGCATTGACTGATTAGACTTTTAGTTACTCAGTCGCCACTTCTTCTTCTTTAGAAGGAGCCTCGATGTGGGAGGTGAACGTGGTGGCCAGATTTGAAGTAGAGTTTGTCATCTCCTGATTCCTGTCTTGTGGATCCAATAACTTCTTAGTCGATCCGGTAAGAAGTCACGTAGTTGAAAAAGGAGGTCCGAAGGTCCGTCTTGTGGATCCAATAACTTTGGCCGCTTAGCCAGTGGAGCTGTACCTGAGCATTTTCGAACAGCTTCGGTGGAGCTGGTTTCTTCAAGACCTTGGTTCTGCCTAGCTCACTGATGTTGTTCTGGTTAGGCTCGGCATTTTTCATTTTTCCACTGCCGACAATCCCTGTTTGGAGAACTGGTGCTCTTGATCTTGCTTGAGCACCGCCTGCAACTCACGGAGCTCGTCAGTGTTGCAGGTTTTGATGAGGTGGAGCAGCAGGCCTCTTCCAAAAGTAGTTCCTTCTACACATGACAAAGATTGCGCAGTCGATCGGTTTCCTTCTCCTTCTGGAATATAGGATTATTTATTACCTTAAGATTACGCGCTCCTGCTGTATGCTTAGAGAATATTGATTAGCTCGTACCAATTTAACTCTATCCGTCATAATGTAGTCGTCCTCTTGGTTCCTTTGGTCGATAATTGAAGATGGTGATACTGTTGTTGAGATCCCTGGTGGGCTTTTGGGACCCCTTCAGCGGCGTCCCCTTCACACTTGAGACACCTGACACTGAGGTGTCAGGCCATCACATTCTCCTTTCCCTACAACGAGGCTTTTCACCGTCTCGACAAAGAAAAGCTATTGGATCCGGAAGACAAGGAACAGGACATGGCAAACTCTACGCCAACTCTGGCCACCACGTCCTTATCCCCAACCGAGGTTCCTGCTAACGAAGAAGAAATGACGAAAGTCAAGTCGGACACGATTGAGACGCCTGGCCATGAGGGCAACTAAAAGTCTAATCTGCATCTTTAATGCATGTTTTTGTGAAGGTGTCTCAAGTGTGGAGATGTCGCAGCCGAGGCAGTAGCAATCTCCGTAGCCGTCTTCTTCGCCAAGCTGCTAAATCCAGGGGCCCACCACATAAAACAACAGTCATCGTTGCAAAAAAGCGTCTGCTAACTGAATTTTCTGATCTGCCGCCACCACCGCTGCACGTAACACCTTTACTTAAGACCCCGAATATGTTAATTAAGGTTTATTGCAATATTTAAGCGCTTACTTTCAGTAGAAACCAATATCCAGTTGTGAAAAAATGAATTTGGCATTCAATGCCTCGTCAGATTTTTTGACAGGCATTTAATGTGGACGCATTCGGGTTGCCAGGATCAGGGTGTCAAGATTTTTTAGCGAATCGATACACTTTTAACTTTTTCGGCAAAAGAAATGCCCTGGAATTTTAGTTTATTTGAAATTCGAAACAGAGTTTAGTCGAGGCCCTCGTCTTAGGAGTTTCTTGTTTATACTTCAAATTTAAACGTTTCTTTTATAGAAAAATAGGACTTACAATAAATATAAATAAATGTATAAATATTTTTAAAAATTTATTTTGTCCTTCTAAACTTTTAAGCAAAGGATAATCCTTACTGCCCACCTCAGCTACATACATATGTCTTCTGTGGTTGCCGAAAAACCGATCACTAATGCTATCATATTTAGAATGATATATGACAGTGATAAATGTAATATTTATTTGTTTCCCAAATAAAAACATGCACAAGGAATTTAGTGGTTTTTCTTAATGAGTTTTTCAAAGACAGAGCGTATGGCCACCTCAGATGTCATAATCCCCACTCCCTAATCCAAAACCATTGATGCAACTAGTTAGTTTCGGACGTTCCAATTCTAGGGAACTAACTTGAGGCGGGCACGTGCCGCTCTGTTGCTCTTGCCCCCCAAAATTCCCCAACGCATGCCACCGTGAAGCGCCGTGAAAGAAGGGAGGAGCGGTTACCTTCTACACAGATATATCCGAGTCCACACGCATATCCACACCCATTCCTCAAATCTGGCCCCCCCACTCCAAGACCTTTTAAACAGTGGTGCCTAGTTGGATATATCTGGATTTATTTAAGTATGTGACAACAAGATTACAGTCAATACCAATATAGGAAAAACATTAATAAATCTCAGTTTAACTAATGTATGAATATTACTAAAATTATGTATGGTTTTTCAATTGGTTTCAAGGAAAATATTTTTATTCTAGAAGTTCCATATCATATCATTTTGTTAAAATATGCATAAGAAAATGTTTCTGATATAAAAAATTAAAAAAACAAAAACAAAATATAATTAATAGTTCTTTCTGGAATTAAAATCTTAAATTTAGTAAAAATCTAAAACATTATAACAGATCTGTGCTTAGGATAGGGTTACTTTTCCCAAGCTGATTTGGAATTTCAACAAACATCACTGTTCCACTCCACTCCCTTTCTTCGGACGGGGTGAGTGCGAGTCGAAAATAAACAAATGGTAAACTTCTGAGGCAGCGACGCAACGTCTGCGCCCTGACTGATGATCATCGGTTGCTGGCGAGGAATGGGGAGCTGGAACCCAAGATGCAACTGGAACCAAATACGAAGGACGGGGGGACTATTTATGATGTATTTCTCGGTTAATTAGTTGCAGCTGAACGCAGCGGAATGGGTGTGGGAATGGAATTGGGATCGGGAACGCTTCCGCATGCATTTGCTAGACATCAGCCCAAAGACCAAAAGAAAGTGCGTGGCTCAGGGCCCTGGGTAATTTTTGCTATATTTGGATATTGCGCCGCTTGATCGGTGATGGATGCCTGGGCCTTTTCATCGTTTATCTTCGAGTGCAGCGGGCTAATGAAACTGCAATGCGTTTCCAGGAACTGGAGCGGAACAATGACGACGACGATGGTCATGATGACGCTGCGCCCGGGCAGACGGCTCAGCCAATTTCGGGTGGAGTAATTAAAAACGTAAATTAGGCTCCAAATTAAAAGCCATCAAATGTTATGCAAAATTAGACTCTCAAAGTGACTAGCGAGTTATAAAAGCCACTGGCTTCTAGATTAAATTAACCCTGGCATTGCAGAAAATGTATGGATTTCTGCTGCTGCTCCTGACCGTTTGGGTCACGGGCAGAATTATTACACCGGAGTGGGACGAGGACTGTGAACTGAATGCTGCCGATACAATGGTTGCTATGTTAGGTTGTTATACCCACTAACCGACTTCAAAAAATAAAACGAGATTATTGAAAGTACATACAATTTTATAAATTGTAAATTACCAATTCAAAAGTAGTATATGCAATTGTTGAAAATTCAGTCAGACAAAGAAATCATCTTATAGAAGTTCAGATTCTCCACAACTTTTTATTGCAGCATGACTTCTGCTGCGACCTGCACCACGAAAGTCCGCAATTCAGCGACTGCCAGATGGAATGGCACGAAAATATCTTCTACGAGACGGATGAAGAGGAACAGACGTAAATGTTTGTGAGTTCAGTTCAGGAGGATCAACAAATAATCAACTAATTGTGTGTTCAGTGCACCGCAGAGTGCAGTTTTAACAAAACAGAGTTCCTAGGCGGGGATCGACGTTCGCTGAATCTTGTCGAGGTAAAGAAACACTTGGAAAGCGATCTGGTCAACGATGCAGATGTAAAGCTTCTTCATGACACCTACGTCAAGTGCGACAAGCATGGTACGTTCGAGTTGCAGGAGGTACTTTTAAAATAAAGTAAGCCTTTTCCAGCGCTCTCCCTTTTGCCGCACCAGGCAGTTAAGCAGTTAGCCAGACGCCTCTCCCGCCACGGCTGTCATCCGTATCCCGGTTTGGTGCTCGAGTGCGTGGCCGTCGAGATGTTCCTCCACTGCCCAACAAAGCGTTTCCGTCAAACAGACCAGAGCAAAGAGACCCGCAACCATCTGAAGCAATGTATGCAGTACCTAAAGTACAAATCCTAGAATTGGATTAAAGATACGAACAGCACTTGCAGCTTACACGTTTATTGTCCTTCGATGTAAATTAACTATGACTAAGGTGGGATACTTGGTTAACTAGCAATCTTGACCGTATCGCCATCTACCTGTAGGGAGTCGGCGAGCTTGAGTTGCTTGTCAAAGCGTTTCTGGAACTTCTTGGCCTGCTTTTCTGTCAAGTCCTCGACGGAGAGATGCTTGGTGTACTTCTTGAGCAGCTTCTTCCGCAGCTTTTCCAGGAAAATACCATCAGTCTCCTTGGCAACGAGCTTGGTTAGCTGGGCAGGCCAATCAAATTCGGTGGAGATGCCATTGGTGCTCTCCTCGGGAGCAGCATCCTCGGTGGCCTCCAGTTTGGCCTTCTTCTTGGGTGGCGCCTCCTCCTCAGCATCTTTCTGCTTCTGCTTCTTTTCCGCCTTCTTGGGTGGCTCCTCCACCTCAGCATCCTTCTTCTGCTGCTCCTTTTCCGCCTTCTCCCTGGCCAGCTCCGCCTGCTTGGCCTCCTTCATCTTGTTCATCTCCTTCTCCAGGATGTCCCACACCTGGGTGGCCTGTTGACGGGGAATCTTAATGCAGTTGGCCACAAAGTTCTCGAACTTGGCCCTCTTGCGCGGCACATTGTCGACGCTCTGGAGCTTCTGGAAGGCCGATCTCACAGGCCCCGTGAGATTGTACTCGCTGCTGTCGAGGATCGCACGGATGATGTCCATCCAGCTCTCCTGCTTTTGAGCATTTTTGTTGCGCGGCTCCTTGGCGGAGAAGCTGCCGTTTTGGCTGGCGTACTTCTGGGCCTCGGAGATGCACTTGGTGTGGGCCACGTACTCATCGCCGTAGAAGTCCTTCAGGCAGTCCATGCAGGACACGTTCTTCTCGTTCCCGCGACACCGCATCTGGTAGTGCTTCTCTACCGCCGGCTTCTTCACCGACTCGCCGCAGATGTTGCACGTGAAGAAGACCATGGTTTCTAAGTGGCTGGTGTCTTGGTTTTCAGAGAATCCTTAAAATTTCAGGTAATTTCCCTTAAATTTAGTGCCGGCGGAGGGCCAAACAAAACGCACGTGGGTAATAAAGTGACCGCACTCGGCAAAAATACCGAAGATTTAGTGTTTGTCAACGACGATTCCAGGGATGCGAATTATACAAAAAATGTTTTTACTTAATTAAAATTAGCAAAAATTCAATAAATTATAGTTATTAAAATTATTAAAAATTTATCCAACTAAAAGCTTTCAATGAATTCTTAGTAAATAGAAAACAAATTATAATTTTTAATTCTTTGTCTATTATAAAACTGTAAAATTGGTTCAGGAGGGCTTGGATATTTATCATAGCCTTTAACACGTTTAAAAGCTTTAGTTTTAGTTCACCTAAGTAGAAAAATTTTGTTATTGATTGTTACGGTTAGTTAGTTAATTAGTTATGATTGATCGCAGACAAACTCCAAAACAATTTTTTATATTTCAGAACTATCGCACCGTCGCCAAAGCTTGTGCGATGTATCATCACTAATGGCAACAGCTGTTCGCAGTCACGTTGCAGCGGCTGACGAAACCGAAGCTAATTGTTTGGGTTAAAACCCGGTTTCTCGTTTAATTATAAACTATAACTTCAACGAGCCGCGATTGCAAGCGCCGACGAAATACGTATGTATTTAGTGAGATTCACTCGGTCGCCCATCCAAAGAGCTCTGCGAACACTGACGACGAGTAAACCGATGGCGGCCACAATAGCCTCCGCCAAGGATCCCCTGACAGGCCCTCGCTACGAGCGGGAACCGAATGTGCTGAAGAAGAAACTGGCCTCCGTGGTGCCGGGCACCGTGAACCTCCAGGTCCTAGGCTCCGGCGCCAATGGAGCCCCTGCCGCTGTCTACTTGTTCACGGATCAGGCGCGTTACTTGTTCAATTGCGGCGAAGGAACCCAGAGATTGGCCCACGAGCACAAGACCCGACTCTCCCGGCTGGAACAGATCTTTCTCACCCAAAACACCTGGGCATCCGCAGGAGGATTACCCGGTCTCACGCTGACCATTCAGGATGCCGGAGTGCGCGATCTGGGACTCCATGGACCACCTCATCTGGGCTCCATGTTGCAATCAATGAGACGCTTTGTGGTGCTGAAGAACCTGCAGGTGCGGCCCATCGACTGCTCCGAGGGCGCCTCCTTCGAGGATTCGATTCTCAAGGTGGACTCCCTGCCGCTGATTAGCTCAGCAGATTCAACGAGGAGTGTAATCAATTACATTTGTCAGCTGAAACCGCGTGCTGGAGCTCTAAACCTGGTCAAGTGTGTGGAGAAGGGTGTGCCTCGAGGACCTCTTCTGGGAGAGCTCAAGAACGGAAAGGATATCACTTTGCCCGATGGAACAGTGGTGCGTTCAGCTGACGTCTCCGAGCCCAGTGAAACTGCTCTCTCCTTTGTTTTTCTGGATGTTCCCTCTGAGGACTATCTACCGGGACTCCTCACACATGGCAAAAGGCTCAAGCAGTTGGGCGAAGAGAAGCTAACCGAAGTGGCCCTGGTGGTGCACTTCACGCCTTATCAAATGGCCTCTCGACAGGAGTACAAGGATTTCATAGAGGAGAACTTCACGCCTGACACCCAGCACATCCATTTGAGCTCTCCGTTAAACCAATTCTCTGGCTATGCAGCTGCCCATCGTATCCAACACCAATTGCACCAACTGGCCCCGCAGGTGTTCCCACTGCTGGGCGAGCAGCTACCGTGTCAGAGTCAGAGCCTTAGCCTCAACCTGAAGAAAACCAAGTTGAATGAGTCCGATGTTGAGGATAACGCGAATGCTAAGGACTTCGAGGAAGAGGAACAGGGTGTGGTAGCCATGACCAACTTTCATCTGAGGCCAAGAAAGGGTGGGTTCTTTTGTTTCATACCATTCAGATCAGAATCAATACTAAAGTATTTGTTTATATATTACCCAAGGTCTGGATCGTACCCTGGAGTCCAAGCTCACGCCGGAGGAGTACGTTAAGGAAACCCACGCCGTGCCCGGCTTTACAGAGCTCTTGGCCAAGTATAAGGAAGATTATAGTTTCCCCAACAACTCGGCCGACAGCTTTCCAAAGATAATTTTCCTGGGCACTGGCTCCTGCATTCCCAACAAGACACGCAACGTTAGCTCCATTCTGATAAAGACGGCGATCGATGCCTACGTATTGTTGGATTGTGGAGAAGGCACATACGGTCAGATAGTGCGGCTTTATGGACGCGACCAGGCGCAGCAGGTTCTTCGACAATTGCAGGCTATTTATGTGTCACATTTGCATGCCGATCACCACATTGGATTAATTGGTCTGCTCCGGGAAAGAAGGCAACTGGAACCCAAACCTGAGCCGCTGATTTTGCTGGCTCCTCGGCAAATTGAACCCTGGCTGGACTTTTACAATCGGCAGATAGAAACGATTGAGGATGCTTATACTCTAGTGGGCAACGGCGAACTTCTGGCAAGTCCCCTAGCCGGAGAGAAAGTTGAACCTCTGGGAATCACATCCATATCCACCTGCCTGGTAAGGCACTGCCCGAACTCATTCGGAATAAGCCTCACTCTGGCAGCTAAGCACAAAAACGAGCCCGTGAAGATTACCTATAGTGGTGATACCATGCCCTGCCAGGATCTACTCGATCTGGGCCGCGACTCCACAGTGCTTATTCACGAGGCCACCATGGAGGACGATCTGGAGGAGGAGGCTAAGTTGAAGACGCACAGCACCGTGTCGCAGGCTATTCAGCAAGGGCGAAATATGGATGCTCGCCACACGATTCTCACCCACTTTTCGCAGCGTTATGCGAAATGCCCGCGATTGCCGAGTGACGAAGATATGCAACGAGTGGCTATAGCCTTTGACAATATGGAAGTGACCCTGGAGGATTTGCAGCATTACCACAAGCTCTACCCCGCTCTCCTGGCCATGTACGCCGAATATACGGAAGAATTAGAGCAACGGGCGGTTAAACGCGAGTTGAAACAGGAACGAAAGCGCAAATTGGCAGAAACGTGATCGCGACTGATTCCACGGAGATGCAGGATTATTTATTCAATCAGCTACTGTTAAACTAATATTAGGGATGAGTTGTAAATGTTAAGTTGTGTAGCTATGCTTTGGACTCATGAAATGTACACAGAAGCAAAGCGAGAATATATAGATTTTATATATTTGTTAATACATGCCATATTTGCATACCACTATGCATTTAAGCGGTAGCCTTTATATGGAATTTTATTTTTTAATAAGGACTTTTTTGGTCAACTACTCAATATTTTGGTGTTTATACTTTTTATTCCCCCGCAAGTCCAATAAAATATACAATCCTCGAATGTTTTTTAGTTTCTTCTTTATTTACTAAATACGCTTGCAACAGTGTCTGTGTAATAAACGCTTTTGTAATGATTTTAAAATGGTTTCTGTTGGTTCGGACTCGACAATATCATCATAAATAATATTAATAATTATCAATAATAATTATCCACTTAGCCGACTCAACAAGGGGCACTTGAATCTTAGCACATTTTTTTCTCATTTTTTGATTTAATTTTTAGTCATTTAATTTTCAACTTTAAGGCACTTTAGTTCAACGGTCTCCACTTCCATCTTTTTTTTTTGTAATTGATTTTCTTTTTGGAAATTAGCTGTGACTAGTTAAAATTAGTAGGTAAACGACAAAGTATATATATGTATGATCTTAATTTAGGTCCTTCGATATTTGGTGTGTGTGTGTGTGTGTTTGGGTGAACGGGGTGTCGGAGTTGGGAGGGTGGAGGGGACAACTTCTGGTTAATATTTGCATCTCATAAATAAACGTAATTCCAACATTGATATAATTAATGCTCTGTTTAAAAATAAATAAATAGCTTTAAATTACGGCAAAACGAAAGCAGCAGAATTAGCGGGATAAGAATTATTCAACAACAACATAAAATAATCCAGTAAAACCAAGTCAGAATTAATCATAGAACTGCCTTCGCCCCGGCCACGCTGATTCCTCCTCACATTAGACTACAAATTCATTAAGATTAGAGACGAACGGCGATCCGGGGGCAGGATCCTCCGACCGATCTCCTCTAGGCCCGTTCCACGTAGTTGCCGGGGAATGTGCCGAAGCAGCCGGTCCTCTGGGAGGTGCCCACGAACCATCCGTCGTCGCACTTCTCCAGCACATGGACCACATCTCCCTCGAGCAGTTCCAGTTCGTCGGAGTTCTGGGGCCGGTACTTGTACAGGGCGCGGTACCTACAAGAGATATAATATAGAAGTTTTGTATAATACAACTACTTATGTGCCACTAAAAATTTTTTGTGTTTTTTAATTCCTTAAAAATGGTGCCTAAATGTATGCAGTAAATGTTATACTTCACCTTTCTGCATTCTTCTGCTATACTAAAATTTTGTGTAGCATACTTTTAGACACCTTTGTGGGAATTTCTAATTAATTTGATCCTATCTCTGTATAACTTACGCCAATGGCTCGGAACTGGTGTCCACGTGGAGGGCGTCCGTCTTGTGAAGCGTCCGCGTCTCCTTGAGGATTCCATTCGGTGGCTGGGCTCCATTTTGCGTGAGCGTGTTGAACTCATTGTTGATGTTTGTGCGCAGCACATCGAGATTAGGCCGCAGATTTGTGGTGCTTTGGGTGGTGATCACGGTTGTCCTGGCCGCAATATCCTCAGCACCAATATCCGTGAGTACCTGTAGTTTTAAATGGGTAAAAGGTATATGTTGGATAAGGTTTGCTAGCTGAAAGACTCACCTCCACGTAGGAGCACGGGAAGATGCCCTTCCTGTTGGCAATCTTGCCCTCGAACCAGTTTCCATCCACTCGGCGTGTCAGGGTGACCAATTCGCCCTTGTTCAAAGAGAGCTCGATGCCCGATTGGGCCTGGAAGTTGTATTTGGCACGGGCCTGGCCCTCCGATGGCCGCTTGGATGGGGTACGGGCGCCATCTCGACTGACAATCTGGAATGGGGTAACATTTGGATGAGGTTATCAATTAATGAGAGTACTATTACAATATTATAATAATTTAATTTATATTTTTTTATTTAGTTTATTTTTTTGTGTGCTTGTTATACCCTTGCAGAGTTTTTTTATTTCAGATCAAAAAAAGTTGATTCATCTGTTTGTTAGTTTTTTCCGGTATGTCTAGTCATTGGAAACCCCGTATTTTCTAGTAGCAACTGCCTGTATGAATGTGTCATTGGTCTCTTAAAAGTGTTTGGTCGTTTGTTAGGATTCTAATCCCCAATCTTTATCCACCAAGATATATATATATATAATGAAAATGAATACGATAATGTATCATAACACAATCAGAGGTTTGTTACTCCAGTCTTCCTGCTTTCTATTTTAAGCTCAGATAATGAAGGTATCAGGCCTACCCCACAATATCTTCAAGACTACCTTTATCCAATATTTGATCCACTCACCTCAACATAACTGGCTGGGAGCAGTCCAATCATAGCATTGTGCTCGCCCTCGTACCAATTGGCATCGATCTGTCGCCTGATGTAGATAGTGTCGCCCTTGCGGAAGGATAGCTCCCTGTAAGGAACCCGAATTTAGTATTGCTCAAGGAAAGTATTATATTTGAACACACTTGGAGCTCTGTCCCTGGAAGTTGAAGAGAGCCCGGGCCACCGTCTTGGGGCCCACCAGCGACTTGAGGGTCACGTCCGTGGGGAAGTCATCGTAGCGATTGAGGGCGATGGGCGACTTCTGCGACGGCGTGAAGTTGTCCGTGTGGCGGCGCGAGTTCATGTCCTGCAGCTCCTGTAGATACTTGCGACGGCGCTCCTCGTGGTAGAGCTTCTGCATGTGCTCCGCTTGGCGAATGGCTAGTTCCTCCTCCGGCACGTTCTGGCGCTGCTCATGCCTGATCGGGGTCTTGAAGTGGATGTTCACGTCTGTGGCATAGTAACGATTGGGAGACTCTGTTCAGATGAGAGGCGCAAAGCGGGGTTTTCAGGCTCAAGCATAAGCGAAGCGGCTTTGGTTCCCCCAAGTAGACCTATAATATACCCAGTTCTCTTGTTTCTTGTTACCCAAAGAGATTTTAATGATAACCAACCCATGGTTCGAGTTAGGAACGCAGTTTCTTCGAGTGTACTCGCTGTTTACCCTAGCAATAGCAAACTGTTGTCGCCATCGTAGTTTTCTGAGTCGTAAGACGATCTGACCGCAAATAGTCGTTACTGCCGACGCTTCTGTTACGAAACACTGGCTTATCTGAGAGTCGGGTGCGGCGTACATATCTGTCTGCCAATTGGTAGGCAAATAAACAGCCAACTCATAGCCCCCACCCACCTCAAAAAACCAGTGAAAATACCCCCTACCATTTTACAATCTCAAATTGAATTAAGTAGCTCTCTCAAATGGAGAATTAGCTGCAATTGAAGTTAATGCTCGTTAGCTTAACAACCTGATAATTGGGGTCTGAAGTAAAGGCAACAGCTCTACGGAAGAACTCTACTAGGCCAGCTGGCCTCGCGATAAGGCTGTTTCTTATATGCATGCGAATCTGTCGGAGTTACTTATTGCCTTAATATGCCCTGATTCCATTCCGTTCAATTGATGCCATAATGGAATTGCGCAGCAGGCGGCCAACTGATTAAGATGGAATATAACTTCAGCATCTATTGACCCCATTAGGGAAAATCTCAAGGGGAAAACCTCGGAGTAGCTGGATGTGGAAGTGGTTGTGGTGGGGCAGCTGCACAAATATTTTCACGGTAAATAAACCATGAACCGCGAAGCTTTGTTTTCGAACAACAACAATTAACAACAGTTTTGTACGTGCTGTTTAAGCCAAGTGAAGAAATGGAAAGAGAGGTTTAATTGACACTCGGGGGATTGGGATTTTCACTTTCACTGATTCGCTGCGGCATATTTTCGCCAGCGTTTGAAAGTGCTTGCACAGAGAAAAATCGTTGTGCTATCAGATTGATAGTGTTATCTTCTCTTTTAAAGAGTTTTAACCTTATTTTTAACTATCAAGGTAGTTCTATCTGTAGCACATTCTTGTCGAGTTTTGTTGTTTTAAAAAGTAATATATAATAAAGGTATCATTGTGATTCGCAGAACTCAAGGTTTCAAGGAAATATATATCAGGGGTCGGCCTCAATGGGATAGTAATGCTCCATTGAGAACGGTTTGTATCCCTTGTATGGAAAACCTTGCCTATTTCTATCTTTCTTTTAGACACACTTATACACACTTAGGCTTTCCAAGGCTTTTTCTTGCATTTCACGCTCAATTAACTTTTTAAACGTTTTTCTTTACTGTCTTTTCATTACTTCCTCGGTAAGCGCTCATTAGTCACAACAATCAATCAGAATCAGAATCCGAATCGAAGGCTAGGTCAATTTTCTGATAGAGTCGAGGAGAATCACAGAGAGCCTAAACAACAAAGCTTCGCGCCTCACTTGAGCCGGAGAAAGAGACGGGGAGAGAGGGTGTAGAAAGAGAGAGGGACTAATAACCGACTTTACCGTAGCACGCGTAGCGCTCAACTGAAACCGAAATCGAAATTGAATGGGGGCCCCAAGGCAGCTAAGCTATATGGAGACAGAGAGATAGAGACAGATGGGGAAAGAGAAGAGCAGAAAGAGAGGGAAGACCAGAAGACGAAGCTTCGCGTAGACTCTCTGCCGGGTGAGTAATTCCCAGAGATAGCGGCGTTCGTATTACTACAAGTTCCGTTTTCTTCGGCGCCGCCTCACGTTTAATTGTTGTTGTTGTTGGCGGTGGGACAATGGGGTGTGACAATCGCTTGTTGGTGTCACAGTGGCTCAGAATGGTAAGAAATAGCTCAAATTATCACGAACCGAAGAACTCGTGTAATATTTAATTAGGGTAGGGAACTACGAGGGAACAACGCACATTGTTTTAGAACTGAAATTTTTTTTACATTTTTCTATACGCTCTTTAAAAGTACTTTCTAAATGATGTCGAATTCTAACAATAATTATGTTTCAGGTTGCTAGAGGTTAAAAAACATATATCATCCTAAATATTTTGATGTAAAGATTCTATTATGCGCTAGAAAAATACTGCCAGCCTAGACATTTTAAGAACCTAGAAATAACACCTATGGGCATTACAATCATCTCCGATTAATCCAAAAATACTCCCCACTGTGGCTTCTTCATCTTGATCATAGTAAAATAAAAGCTTTTCCCTGCATTTACTGATACAGCTTCAAGCTTTTATCAAAGACTTTGGTGCTCGAACGTGAGGAGCGTGGCCAAAAACTGAACTCTCTTTTGGCCACCTCTCTTCAGCAATCTCAGGCGGCCCAGGTGATAACGAGTTTTTACCTTTTTTTGCAAAAGAAAAACCGTGAGAAAGTGCAAAACAGGAAGGTCGCTTAGTCAAATGAGAAAGTGCAAAGCGAATGGGGCGGTGGGAGCTGGAAAGGGGGTTCAATCGATCGCTTGACTTTCTTTTATCTCGCTGGGGCCTCTCATATAGCGCATAAACACTTGCGGTTGGGATATAATAATATACGATATATTAATGTTAAAAAGGGACAGAAATGATTACAAAAACCTTTCAGCTTGTCTACACATAGGAATATTATAATATTTATAGATTTTGGTATCGTATAAAAATATTATTTTGACCAAATTAGTTCTTTAACACAAGAGAAAGAAAAGGGTTTGCATAGATTTGCAAAAAAAAACTTTTACAAGACAAAGTAGGAGCAATTTAAATTCTTTTAAATAGGTTTGTTCATTTGATATGAAAAGTACTATCCACGATGGAACTTTGTATAGGTTTTGAAGCCTATAAAGCATATCCTAATCTGGTTCCCCTAGTTTTCCTCACTATTGGTTCAATACTAACTGCTTGGCCACTGATGTTGCAGCCTTTGGTACTTTTGCTGCTGCCGCTGTTGCAAGTGCTGCTGATGTTGCTGCTGCTGTTGCAGCAACTGCTGCTGCTGCTGCCAGAGGAGCAGTGGCATGGAAGCCCCAATGGCCCGCTGGTTGGCCAGATAGGCCTGCCTCTGGTCGGGCTGCGGAGTGAGGGGCAGTCCCACCACGTGGTAGCCACCTGCACCAGGAACACCCTGATAGTTCGAGGGCGATGGAGGTCTCAGGGGAGCCGGAGCCGGTCTCTCGTAATCATATCCCCGGCGGTGCAGCCACAGGATTTTTCCGCAGTTGGGTATATCGCAACCATTGTTGTTATTATGGACATTGCTGTCAGCTCCACTGCTTTGGGGCCTTTGCCAGGGGTTTTCATTAATCTCCGTGCTGCGCCACAGACTTTGCGGCTCTGGAAATCCCTGATCCTCCTGCTCCAAATCGTTGCAACTGCGATGCAACTTCTGTCGCCAGTGGACCGCCTTGCTCTTGGAATAGCTGGAGGATTGGCTGCGGTGCGGCGCCAGCGTTTGATGGATCATATTTCCCCAATTGCGTAAGACATTTAATTGCGATTTTCACCGAGCGCCGCCCGAAAGACACGTTTTTTTGGCACGGAAAAGTGAAACTGACTAACGGCCGCGACAGGTAGTGTGTGTAGTTCCCAGTTTGATTTGTTGACGGCATCGTCTTGGCCATGGCAACGCGAACGAACTGCAGGCCGGCAAGGTGAGCCACCCCCAGGAGAACACCAGTGTTACCACCCGAGCAGGCGGACAGGTGGGTGGGTTCGTGGTTCGGTGGCTCGGTGGTGAACTAAGCGGGTCACGCCCGTCCGCGTGGCCGGCATTCTCATTGGCGATATCGATTAATTTGGCCAACTAACACACGGCGCGCCTTCAAAGCGAAATTGCACCAATTGCGGAAATTGCCCGTCGTTGCGGTAGTAAAAATGCTTTTAACAAAGGTCAACGAATGACAATGGCTCGGATACAAGGGGTACAGGGAATGTTTAGAGGTCCTGACTTATAGCCAAGCAGTAAACTAAAATTAATCCACTAACTGGTCTTAATGGGGTATAAAATGGGTTTATTTATATTGCACATGGAACTATAAAATTGATTTCGCAGGTAATCAAGTTCTTCTTTGGAGAAAAAGGGTACCATTTAGATGTACTAGAATTTCTTTAAAAGAAACATAACCTCAAGTTTTTAAAGATTTGATACCTAACCAACAAAGTACTTCTTGTGAAAAATAAAAGTACAATTGGAAAATACTTGTGCAGGATCCTTTTACCTAAGGTATCGTAATGATCTTTCATAAAGAAAGTGATTATTTTTACATAGCTTGGAATCAAATACTTCTTTGGAGAATAAGAGACCCAATTCGATATTCTGGTATTTCCTAATAAGAAACATAACCTTACATTTTTCAAAGATTAAGTACCTAACTTAGAAAGTACTTCTTGTGATCTTTCTTATAAAAGGGAATTTTACCTAACTCAGAAGTATTTTTTTGCAAAAATAAAGGTAACACTGGGAAATACATGTGTTAGAACCTTGTAAATAAGAGATAGTAACGATCTATCATTACAAAAAGTCATTAGTTTTACTCTTATATAGATTTATATAGATTTTTAAGCGCTTTTGTAAAATAGAAATTTCGTCCCAACTTCTTCGTAAGATATTTGTCTTCCTTTTCTAAATATGGCTTTTAAGCGGCTTTGGGAATAATCCAGGGAGCACCTGCATCATCGTCACTCACCTGATCCGTCGACGGTGTCGGTGTTGTACGTGAAATCGTAGATGGAGTGACCCTTGACCGGCGGCTGGGGGGGAATGGGGGGCGCGTTCGGGTCGAGATCTGCGCCAACAATTACAGATAAGAGACGAGTAAAGGGATAATTTCGAATAGTTAAGACCAATAAGGGAGTACCCAAAAGCAGCAGCTAGCTCTACGAGATCTACAAGATCAGGCGACCAACGAAGCATAGTCTATAGGAAAGGTGAATGGTTGCCCTAGCTTCTCCTGTTAAGAACCCCTAATCACTGCTCCCTAAAATTGATTTTTATAAATCACCTTTAAAAGTCACCATGGCTGTCTTCTTGAGGCGCTCCAAGGTTCCATTATCCTTGCTCTTCTGATTGCCATTCTCTGCTCCATCGGGCACATATCGAGCCTTGGGTCGATGTTTATGGGGATCGAACTTCTGGTTGGCGAATATATCCTTCATGCAACTGGTTAGCTGGGATCTCATCTGGTGGTTCTGCGATCTGGCCGGTCTAGGTGGCGAAGTGGAACTGGCTCGCAAAGCTCTTTGAGGCTTTCGGGGCAGCTCTTTGGGTTTCGAGGGCTCCGGATGCCTGTGGGCCACCCAGTCGGCACTCAAGTGCGGTGATATGTCATGGACATCCCGCATATCCGGATGCGAGGTGGACAGATAGCTCTGGGTCTGGGGTTCCGGCGATTCGTAGCGCATCCTCAGGCGCTCGAAACAGTGACTGTTGCTGCTCACACTCCTCGTGGGACTCGATCGAATGGGTAGGGATAACTCCCTTTTCAGGGCCGCCGTCTTGCTGATGATATCGATGTGGGGCATCAGTCTGTCCTGGGCGCTCCTCAGCCGCCTTCTTCCCCGCTCCGGCGAGGGCGTGGCTGCCCTGGATTCGAACTTGTGGGTCAATCGAGGCACCTCCTCCTTCGACACCGCCTCCGTAACGGTGTCCGGGGCGTCTTTGGATCCCGCATTCATTTCGGGATCGCTGCGCGCCCTCCGCAGCGAGCTAAGCCCAAAAAAATCACGCCGCTCGTTGGATGGCTCCCGGGATGGTTCCCCCGACTGTTGGATACTCTCGAAGTGCTGGCGCATCTTCCGCACCTCCCCGGTGTAGACCCTCTGCAGATAGGAGCTGGAGCAGGCGGAGGCCTGGGATTGGGGCGACAGACTGCGCGATCGGTAGTAGGAGTCGGAGTATAGCTCAAGACTGCCTTCTCCTTGATCCGGTGATCCGTTCCCAAAGCTGATAAGCTCGGTATCGTCGGGCGGACGGTCGGGCGGGCTGTGCAAGTGAAAATTTACCCTGGCCGCAGGACGTTCTCCGAACACCCCACTCAAATCTGTGAGGGAATTACTCAGCTCCTGGTGGTGATGCAGTTGCCTAGCCCGCTGACGTTCCTGCATATTCTGATTGATGAGTCGCATCACCTCTGCCTCATCCGGAGAGGAATCCTCGCGAGCGTGGTAAATGGTCTTGGGTGGCTCATCAAACTGGCGATCCTCGAAGTACTGGATCTTCTGGCTGATGTCTTCGGCTGGCTCGCGAGATTCCACCTTGGTTTCCGCCTTGGTAGGGGCCTTGCTTTTGACCTCCTGACTTGCCGAGGGCTTGGGTCTGGGTGGCACATCCGGTGGCTTGCACAGGGTCAACTCTGCATTCTTGGCTGCAATGGCTCCACGGGTTTCCCTGGCCACCACCACAGGTGATTGGCTGCGAGTGGCACGGGGCAAGGTCTGATTGGACTGCTGTTCGCCTTTTTTACGCTGAACTGACCCCAGTAACTGATCCTTGGAGATGGTGGAGTTGCAGCGCACCTTCAGGCCATTTGGTCGGGAACCCTTCTCCACTGTGACCACATACTGCTCCTCGACGGCCGGAATTTGACGATTTCCCGAGTAGATCTCGTTCAACTGCTGGGTGATTTTCTTGATCTGATCCTTAGACAGAGTGCTCACCAGATCGTTATCTAAATGCCGTTCCATCTCAGGTTCGGCTGAGGTCTGATGCTCCAGACTGCTGGCCAAATCGGCCACCGTGTTGCGTCTCCAATGGCGATGCACTGGCTCCGCCTGGAGCTGCTGCTGCTGCCTGAGCAGATTCAGCTGCTCGAAATTGTCGCGCAGATCCTCCACGGACTTCTTTTTGGCAACCAGTGCTTGGTCTGCCTCTTGACGCCACTTAATGGAGTCCACATCCTTGGAACGGAAGTGCAGATCCCTTTGTTTCTGATCATCTTGCAGTTTGCCCACTAAGTAGTGGAGTTCCTTTTCAGCTCTTTCATGGAGTCGCACGCGTCGCCACTCATCAAAGTCCAGGAGTTCTGCATCCTTCCTCAAGGGATGGAAACTGCTGGAGGAGGTGGCCCTCTCCAGCTGACCCACTCTCTCCAAGGTGCTGTAGAAGCGATTCAGCTCGGTGAAACGCTCGCAGTTGTTGCGATACCGACAGCTGGGACTATGCCGCTCCAGGTGGGTCAAGGAGGTGGCACTGTGGGCCAGCTCCCCGCATTGGTAAAGTCCATTCGAGGGAGCAGGAGTGGCCCTCCTCCGTTCATCAGCGCTACTTAGACTACTGGCCCTGGCCAAAGACTGCTCCTTATCCTTGGAACGCAGACTATCGATGCGCCGGCGAGAGGGGGATCGCACCTCCCTGCTGATCTGGGGTACCCTGACTTCCCTGGTGGGCGAAAAGCGACGCTCCTGCTGCCCCAGCTGAGGCGATTGGGGACGGGCTATGTCCGTCACGGTCACCGGTTTAGGAGGTCGCTGCTCCTTGCCCTCGTACTTCCACACCAGATCCTCGATGCACGGCTGCTGGATCGTTTGACTCGCAAAATCGCACACATCCTCCGGACAGAAGCGATACTCCTGCGGCAAAGACATGGCCTGCTTGGCATTGTACTCGTTCCAAAAGTTGGTCTTCTCCCGCACCGATTCGCTGTAGGAATGGACGGTCACTGGAGGTGGTGGTGGTGCCTTTGAGGTGGCCTTTCCATTCTGGCGTTTCCTGGGAACATGACCTTCGCTACGGCTGTTCTGAAGGGGAACCACTGCCTTTGATAAGGAACCCCTCGACTTGCTCACATACGTCTTGGGCGGTGCAATGGGCACAAACTCCTGACGCACCAGCGAATCAATGGAGAAGGTGGAGTTGCTCCTGGGCAAGCTGTCATTTGACCCATTCTTAGCTTGACCCTTTCCTGTCTTTGAGGAGGACTTCCTCAGCGACCTAGTTCCACAATCCAAAAGAGTTTGGGGTCTTACTTGTGGAAAGCACATGGTCTGTCTTGTGGTAGTGCTCACTGTAGTCTGACGAAGTCGGGGCAAGGACTTGCTCCTCGAGGTGGCATACGAACGCACTGCCTCTCGCACCTCTTGCGGGGATTTCAGGGAGGGATCCCTCAGTATATTGGTGCTGGCCTCAAAGTTGGTGCGATTAGCTGGTAGGGTGTTCTCCAGTCGCTTCTTCTCCTCGGCAAAGCTACGCTCCTTGGAGATGCTCCTGCCAAAGGCCACGGGACTGCGGCTGGAGTGGCGAAGGGCCAGAAGACGGGCGGGTCGTCTACTGGGACTGGAGGACCTCAAGCGGGACTGGAGCTGCTGCTGCTGCTGCGGCTGGACGCGATGACGAGTGAGTCGGGTCTCCTTGGTGGCCGTCAGGGTCTGCAGAAGAGTGGACACCGCTCCAGCCGACTTTGATCGACAGATGGGCTCGCGACGGGAGCAGCTCGAGGTGGCCACCTTCCTCAGGGTAATGGTGGATACCCCAGGAGCACTTCCATTCGGGGGCTGGAAGCATTGCTCATGACGGGACTTCGAGGCGGAACTCAGAACCCGCACGGTGCTCTTCGTGCAGCTGGACTTCCGGTGAGGCGGTCTTGGAGCTGGGTCATCCGGTTGGGAGACTGGCTGCTTCTTGCTCAGCGGAATGAACGAGGGCAGAGTCTTCGACAGCTGCGAGAACATCTTCACCGGCTTCTTCTCTCTTCTCCTGGTCAAAGATTGAGTCGGCGGTGGTGGTGGAGGAGGTGGTGGTGGTGGCGGTGGGTTCGGTTGATTTGGTGGTTTCTTCAAGGGCTCCTCCTCTTCTATTAGCTCCTTGGTGCTCACACGAATCTTTGTGAGCGTGGGAGTGATCTGTATGAATTCGAACTCTTCCACAATTTCTTGAGAAAGGCAATGAATCGTATTTGAATTGGTTTCTTTTTGGTTGACAGTGCTGACAGTGCCATAAACGGTGGTGCTCTTTTTGGTGGTGCTCGCCTCCTCGAGGGCGTACAAATACAACTTCAGGTGAGCAGTGATAGTGGGTGGGAGGTATAAAACCAGGGCAACAGGTGGCAAAGAGATTACAGTCTTACATAGTTTGAGTGTACGAAAGATAGACCTTGGAACCAACACCGTTTGCAAAATTAGTAAGTAGAATAGCCCAGCGACTTATGACTAAATTAGATATTAGACTAGAGTTACGGGGAAGAGTAGCCCAACTATAAAAAGGGTTATCCACTCACCACGGGGCTTCTCGGGTGCTGGTTTGCGGAAGCCGAGCAGTGGAGGTTCTCCGCCTGCCTGAAGACTCTTGTAGGCCTGCTTTTGTTCAACGGGACTGAGGGGACTGCTCACGGGTACCTCCTTCTTTCGGAAGACCAGGTTCGAGTCGCTAGTATAGCCGGATTCCTTGGCCAAAGCTCTGGGGATACAAGAACTTAATGGTATACTGTTGAATAATACTATAGTTGATTTTTGCTTACCTGGACAAGTTACCTTCAGTATACAATGGCGATAGTTTCGATTGTTCTAGATTCTAGATCAAAGGAAAAGAGAAAATACGTTAGTCGGCATTTGCTTAAATAGAAAACTTCAATTGATCGATTGGCTTCTATTAGTATTTCTTGTGCCTTTTGCAATGATCCCTGCCTGGCTTTCTCATCATCTCTGACAGACCGATGGATGTTCTGTCCGGGGAAACTTACTCCGATGCCGTCGAAATCATCGACGAACTCTATGATAATACGAGGGATGCGTGTATGCTCCCTAAGCCACTTTGCGAACGATATGGATAAGGCATTTTGGCAGGCGGTAAATGGTAGGCAAGAAGGGATATAATAGTAAGCAGATAGTTCGGAACGGATTAGTTCACGTTTGAAAACGGAAAACGGTCTCTGAGTTACTCAATCGGAAGGTATATAAACTAAAACTAAATCTAGATTATATAGTAGAGATCATACCCCGTTAAAGATGTCCATCACTTCGTCCCACCACTAGAATTGTGAATAGAATAATTGCTGTGAGTTAGAATATTCGAGGCGATCTGAATGGCTGATTATGGGTGGTGAATGTAAACGTGAATGCTATATGACTAAAGGCCCGATAGGACCTTCTATGCTATTATAATGGTGTTGTATGGGAAGCAGGGGCAGTAAGCTAATATTCAACAGTGCTGGGGGTTAGGCCAGTGATATTGTTTCATGGGTTTAACTTTGATGGTTGTTAATGGTTGGATTGTACCAAAATGATGAACATTTTGGTAACACTGATGAAATTTTTATGAGGATAGTACTGCTAGTACTTACCTCCTTCTTTTCCTTTTCGGAAACAGACGAATGACCTGTCGTATAGTTCTCGATGCGACCTGGCTGATTTTTATACGAGTTCTGTGCTGACTTTATGGGATTTGGCATAGTACCATACAACCTGGGGATTAAGGGGTGATAATTAAGTAATGGTATTATAATAACAAATCCAGGTTAATACTAACTTTTCGTCCTGATTGAGGTTGCGCACATTGACAGCCGATGAGACGGACTGCATGCGATGCGGATTCTGGGTGCGGTACCTCACCGTGGAGTAGTCGGAATCGTAGTTGGGTTCGGGCTCTGAGACGTAGCCGTTGCTCTTGTACGAAGGACGGGCTGATGGATTGTAGAAATACCGATTAGTTGGTGTAAATATGCAGTCGGGTTAGCATCAAGCGGTTTTGTCAAGCTCTACTATATAACAATCATTACTTTGTCTTGGTGGTGTACTGGCGGACATGATGTTAGCGTTGTTGGGTGAGTTGGGCCTTAGATTAGGTTAGTCTTGAAATTTAGTACAAGCTTCCAAATTGTCAATGAGCTCTAGACACGGGAGTATGAGAGAAATCATATGTAGGTAAACCAAATAATACAGCATGCATGTAAATCATAAATAAAAGCTCTCTATTTTTTAGAGGTTAGAGAGGGTTGGACCCCATCTATACTTATGTACAGGCAAATGCGGGTAACTAAAGGGAAGAGGCTACTGGGGGATAGCATAGTTTATAGATCAAAGAATCACCTCTGGGACACTTGTAGCGAATCACGAAATCATCTTGAGGCGAAAGCGAATGGGAAAATGAGAAACGAGAGTTTTTGAAGAGACCATAACGATAAGTTGGAGATCAGATCAGACTGAAGCATTAGAGGGATTGAGGAAGGGACATTTTTGGGGTCTGGGAATGAGTTGGGATGGGAATGGAAATGGGTGTTCTTGGGAAGTTCGTAATGCTTCAGACCAAGGGGAAGGTGTGAGACATTTACCGCCGTTCTTCTGCTTGTGAATCGTCTGATACAGACGCTTGTACCACTCATGCTGATGCGGCTCCTGGACCTCCTGCATGTGGATAGGGATAAGGAACAATACTCGTATCAAATCTTCTCAAAACCCCCGATATGCCCCAGATTATTGGGGCTGCCTTTACCGATCTGAGGATGATGGGCATTCCATCGTTGGTCACCGGACCGATGCCGTCGTACTGCCTTCGCCCTAACTGTGCCATTTTCCGGGGACGATCGCTGCCCGTCTCCGGTTCGCTCATATACTCGTGCTTGACCTTGTAGACTGGAAACCGCAGATGAAGTTTGGTTAGTGATTTGGGGTTCTCTGGGGGACTCGGGGCACTGGTTTAGGCGGTTAGGGTTAAACGGAGGACACAAACATCACGGCCACATTCAGTGTTGTGCGTCGACATGAGCTCGCTTCACCTGGTCACTTGCCCTACCCACATCGGCTATACTTACTGACTTCATTGGGCCTGTAGGCCGGGCGACTGCCGTCGGACAGCTGGCGCCGCACAAACGGCCTCTGCAACTCCGAGTTGGAAGAAGAGCGCTCGAATGCTTTCGGGGCGATAAACGACAGTTAGGCGTTAGCGAAATCGAAAGAGAAAGATAGGGGACGGAAAAGAATGTTCCAAAGGGGGGAATTGACAAGAAAGATGTAGACGGGTAACCCTTCCTCGCAATATCCAACACTCAAAGATAATAACTATATCATTTGGAAAATTCTATTCCTAACATTCTAGTTTAAGCGAGCAAGGTCTTATACCATTTCTTGGGCAAAAATCATAATTTGTTAATTGATTTTTGAACAACAAAGGCGGGGAATTTCCCTACCAAAAAACTAATTTCCTATCATATATGGTCTAACTATAATATAATACTCCATTTTCTATTTATGGATGGAACCAGTAATAATTAAGATGTACAAAAAACTAGTTTTCAACTAAAAAGTAAAGGTATATTTCCCAACTTTAGCTTTTCTCAATGAAGTCATCTATAGGTGCAAGACTAATATCCATAGCAAATGTGTGTACCAAAATAGCACCCAGTAATTGATATTTGGTTATGCCAAAATAGAATACTCAATGTTCCGTATTATGACAAATAATATAACGTGAACCATAAAATGTGATTGTTTTGGTCGGTACTTAAAACTGTGTCCCTTCAAATTGGTATTTATGGGTAATACCATAATAAGTATAGTGACTTCATATAGTAGTAGTTTAATGCCAATGCATTAACCTTATAAGAGGTAGTATTTAATGGTCAATATTGTACGTATCCGTATGATCCGTATGATCATCCGCATGATAAAGTAAAGGTAGCTCATAAACATTCTTTACGTTTTGCTTAACTTTTGGTTCAACCTGCGGTCCAGAAAATGGGCATAGAGGTAACTAAAAGTTCCTTAAACTTAATATATTTGAGTGTTAGATCAGAGACAGAGGAACCCGGAGAAATACTAAGAGGCAAGGACAGCTTTTTCTGGATATAATACTTCTGATCTTGTCGGAGACACTGGCACTGGGCGCCACGGGAGCAAAGTGTCCGGAGCAGTCGGTTTCGGCGTAGTCCGAGCTGGAATTCACGGAGTTGAGGGATGCCGGGGCCCCTCCGTTCTCCGCAGGTGTCCACGGCGGGATAGTGGTCGTCGTCTTCTGTTGTGGGGCCGTGTAGCGACGTGGCAGAGTGGGCGACTCGAAGCGGACCGGGCGGAACTCCTTGCGTCCGCTGAGCACCGGCGAGGGCTGGGGCGTCCAAACGGGCAGCGAGGGCGGCGGCGGGGGCGGGGGCGTGGCCGAGGTGGCGCCCGATTGATTTAGATCACCAGCGGAACCGTAAGGTGTCCACACGCCTGTCGAAAGTTCGTATTCAGAGGGTGAGCGAGTGTGGGCGTTGGGCTATGGGCTTTCTTGGGGTCTTTCATGGTGGCTGATGACATTTTCAGGGGCGCCGGCGAGTTCAGAGATTGAGTTTCCCGCCCCGACATTTACACTTGTCAACAAATTTATGCTCGCTGGCCATGCTCAAACCGCAGATCTCCTCGAAAATAGCTTCTTGGGCAGTCAACAAACCGAGCGAAGACAAATTGACAAACAAACACAGCGACGTGGAACAGCCATAATTAATACGACGGCGACCGAGGAAGCCGCCATTTGGCAGCCATTCAAAATTTGGCCAACACACATAGGCCCACTCACACAGTGGCGCTCACTGACGCTCCTCTCACACGGATGGGATGAGTCATCGCATTTGGCGCATGTTTAGCATTCACAAAAAGCACACACATTCAGAGAAATGGTATAATTTTATATTCCCGAACCGTTAAAGAACTGGGCGAGGTGAGATACTAGGGTTCCTAAATGGTAAATTACCATTTTGTGAATAGGTATGCTACTGAAAAATGTTGTACAATAAATAGAAGATAAAGAAAGCCTCTTATCCTATATAAAAAATATAAGAAAAAAATCCAGTTACTCGCTTACATTGATTAGAATATCTTTATCTCACAAAAAATCTTTTCTGATGGGATCTTTAATAAAAATATTAACCAAGAAATATTTTAAAAGGCTCAAAAAGTTTACAAAAACACTTTAGATCGTATTTGTTGTCAGTAACAAATTCGAAAAATCACCAATATATCTCTTAGGAAATGGAATACTATATAAAAAGATTACCGCGTAGTTCTCCAACCATATGTATTACGAGTACAATCTTAATCCAATTTATGCAGCTTTTAATGGCTCATAAAATTCGTAGCTAATCTTCCATTCTGATCAGTGGTTAACCAATTTAAATCGTAGAAAAACGTTTGCTAATCTTCTTTATAATCACAATAAATTGCCTCCAATTGTGACTTTCTTCTGCGAGCATAATCCTATTACTTGTCGACTGACCCCCGTGATGTCTGTGCAGCTTTGCATTGGGTCTAGCCAAAATCTTTCATTCTACAGATTTATTTGCCACCTGTAAAAAAACAAAAACCACAAACAAACACCCCGAGATCACAGATACATTGGCCGATTCAGATACAGATACAGATACGAATACAGATACAGATAGAGATAGAGATGCCCTAGGCGCATTGCCTTCGAGACATTGACACGTATTTGGCCGAGGAGCCTCTAGATTTGTTAGCGGATTTCTTGGGTTTCACGGGGGTGGTGATGGAGGGGTGGAAACTGTTAGGGGGCGGTGTTGAAGGTGGTGCTGATGATTCTTATGTGGGCGCGCTGACGTCTTTATTCAATCAGCACTTAATTGAATTATACAATCGAATCAAAAGGAAATTTCTCCTTGCAAATGTCAATCAAACTTGCACACACCACGATCCTCTGAGTCACTTGGATCGTTTTAGATATATCTGAGGGATTTACCTAAGGAGATGCACCGATACGATTACGGTTAGGGAGATAGACCAACGATTTCGAGAGCGATTTGCTGATTGAGTTGCTGACTCCGCGCACGGCTCGAGGCGAACTGAATTTTGCGTGACTCGCCAGCGTCGAGCAGAGCTAAAAAGCCCGGGAATGGGGATGGATTCGGATTCGGAATCGGATTCAAATTCAGAGATTCCGAATGGGACTGGGAATGCCTATGGGCTGTGGCCAGGGGAAAACAAAAGCCAAACACACCCAGTTTTGGCTACGATGGCCCCTCCGCCCAATACCCAAATAGCAGATCAATTACGATTCTCGCTGCTCGGTGCTCGATCAACCGGAGAAAGGAGACAGGGGACAGGGAAACCTCGGGGGGAGAACGCCAATTATGCGTGCAATGCGAAATGGAACGGAAGTGTGTGCGGCGGAGTACAGTGAAGCAGCTACAAAAGACTAACAAACTAACAAACCCCATAAAAAACAACTCTTCGGCAAAGCCAGACAAAAAGCAAAGCCAAAACAAAGCCAACTCGATTGGTTTGGCTTGACTTGGCTTGGCACTTCCGGTGGCCACTGACGCTACTGCTGCCTTGCTGTTTTGCTGCTTTAGAACAAATCAGACGAAAAATTCGAAAATTCGCTTGGAAAAATGTTAATAGTGGCACTTGAGAGCGCGACACACCCGCCAAGGAGCGCCCGCAGTCGAGCAGAAGCCGCATTTCGCTGGCTTTCGTTGTTCGAGGCAATTCATTTCAAATTTATCGATTTGCGAACAAGAAAAACATTGGAAAAACAACAGAAATGAGGACTCCACTGAGGGAAAATCTTTTGGAAAAGAGGATTTTAGTAGTGAGAATTTAAAGAACTGTAAAACTCCAAGATCCAATTAAATAGGATATGGTTTTAATGAAAAAGGGTTGGCCATTTATAAGAAATGTATTTAACTAGCAGTAATAGTGTTTCGGATTTATAAACATTTTGAGATTGACATTTAGAATAATAACTTTGTAAACTCTCACCAAAGAACCTTATAATAATATCTTATTTTAAAAAACTAGTCGAGAAGTTACTATTATAAATAAGGATATATTATTATAAATAAAATCTTTATAAATTCACACCTTATAATAAAATTGTATTTAAAAAAACTAGTCGAGAAGTTACTATTATAAAGCCCACAGAAACATAAAAAAACTCTCAAATAAAGTCTGAAACTTTTCTCCCAGTGCACCTGCCATGAGGGAACCATTTAATTTTAACTCTGGATAGTTTGTAAAATGTTTTTCCAATAGCGGAACCCATATGCTCGCTGCGGCCTTGTAAAATCACACAAAAGGTGATGGAGAAAATAGTTCGGGGGGAGTGGCTGGGGGATCTGTGTGCAACCTGTCACAGATTGGAAAACGGGAGTTGGGATCGGAAGTTCCGAGTCAGAGTGCGACCTGTCAATTGGAAATGGAAAATAGGAATGGGAATAAGAATGGAAATGGGTGCGACTAGCTCTGGCAAATTAAGAGCATTTCCTGAGTTGATTTATGTGGAATTCAGGGGGAGTGCGTCTGCGTGTGGCTTATAGAAAAGGCGGGAACTCCTCCATTTGGGATTATTTATGGAGTGCATATTTGCGGTTCAGCCGGAACTGATTGGAAAAGCTCTAGTTGGAATCCGCATAATGGGCCATTCAATAAGAAGGGGGATCATCTTTTGTGATAGAACCTCTTTTTTATAAGAAGAGAATACAAATTAAATGATCAAATTATCTTTTTTACCTGTATTTACAATATCATACACACAAATTATAATCTCATTCCAGCCACTTTCGCAAAATATTTGTATTTATTTAACTTTCCACCTATTGACTCATGAATTCTTTTCCAATCTACATTATTAAGTTCATCTTTCAACAGATTGATAATCCCAGAAGGCAACGTCATCAAACAGAATTAAATCGCTATTTCTCGACCAGCAGCAAAGGCAAAGGAATCGTTTCGTTCAAGTTCAACTGAATTTATACCATACTATAAATTATTTTCACTCACTAAAAGTCTTCAAATTTATATTTTCCATTCTTTGGCATGGGCAAAAAAAAAACAGAATATTGTACGAACCGAAAAAAATACGAAAGGGGAAAATGTTAAAAATAACAACATACAAATTAATGCTTTAAATAAATGTGTAGGAGATCGAAATTGCCAAAGCATAGATAATGCCATCAGATGACGCCAATCAGGGAAAGAAAGTTTTGATGGATTTCCATGCGCCACCGTAAATCCACAAAGGGGTTTTATGGCCCACGTTGGATTCCGCTAAATGGAAAATGGAATGGTTTCAACGGACTTGGCCGAAAATGTTAGAAACAACATCAAATGGATCGTCATGGCGACATGGCCGAGTACTCTGCTCTCCGTGTTGATCTTATTTAGCAGGCATTTTTATTTTTATTGGAGACTGTAAAAGGCGGCAGCCGCGTGGGCGACCAACACGAAATAGCGAACAACAATTGGGAACATTGCAAATATTGTAATAAATATTCCACATTCTCTCGAGATCCCTCCGATTTTACGTCATTTCGTATATTTAGCAATGGCGCACCTCGTTTCCAGTTTTTGGATTTTCCAAAAAGCGTTTGCCTAAATCATGTGGAAATTTTCGTTGTGTGCACAATTAACATGAACTAATGTGAAATATTTGAAATAAACAATCGCAACTGCCAAAGGCAGAATCAAGTTCAGAAAAAAAAAATCATAGATGAAATGAAAGAGCTAACACAAAAAATGATCTATAAATACGAGCAATAAATTTGGAAATGAATAAGTCGAAAGGTGGAAAGTTGACTGGGACTGAATCGCGTCGAAAGAGCCACTCAACTCGCCTGCCAGCGGATCATCAAAGACGGCCCACTGAAAACGTCATGTTGGCCATTTGTCACATTTTTGGTGGCTGCACATCCGCGGGATGCGAAACGCATCCGTCAGATACGAAATTTACCTGAGCCTGGTGGCGCGCGCGCCTTGAATTTGGGTGCAAACATCGTGCCTTGTGTGTGCTCTGCAAAAATCAAATTGCAAATGTGGCCAAAAAGGCGATTTAAAATCGGGAATAACACTTCACTTCGGCTGCAGTTCGTGCAACTTTTGTATCTTTTCGATACTTTTCCACCGAGGTAGTGGCAACGAGACCAAAACAAATTCGTTTACAAAACACTCAACTAACCCTGCCCCATTTCTGCTGCGTTGGAACTATATAGAAGCGACTTCTTTTTCTCGTTTGTCTAATTTTCAATTTCCGACTTCGGACTTTTCTATATTTTTCCTATTTTCTATTTTCTGACCCGTCTTCGCGTTGCTCACACGACTTTAACACGACGACGACTACGAAACGGTTGAATTTTCGATTTTCGGGCAGGTTGCTTGGACTTTCGGATCGCCGAAAAAATCTCAATTTGTGTGCGAGCGCAAGACAACAAATTTGTTGAACGTTCTCGTACTCAGTTGAAAGATTCGTGCTTTTTTTCCGTTTCGCCCCAGTATAAACAACAGATTTTTTTTATGCTTTCGTAAACAGAGAAAGGAGAGAAGGCCCCCCCCCGAAAAAAATAAAAGAGCGAGTGAAAACGAGAGATCTTCGACTCAAGTGGGTCATAAATTATGGACACAGGGCAGAGATAAAGATACATATGTAAAGATGTGTGGCAAGTGACCAAGGAGAAGCCTTCATGTCGTATACGCAATGTGCTGAAACCAAAAAAAAAGGGCGAATTTTGTTGCCTACTTTCAGGCAGTTAGGTGAAATTGCCCATGTATAAAGTGGATTTTGGCTAAAAATAAACTTAACATAATTACAGATATGTACATATCGAGAAGGGGTTAGACAATTAGACAGCAGGGACGGGGCTGGGAAGGGGGTGGGGATTCTGGGGGCTCTTGACACACCATTCGCGTAGAGAAAGCCCTTGGCCAGCTGCAACTCGCTGTCGATCTCCTTGAGAAGATCGCTCTCCGACCAGCTGCGCCGCTGCCTCTGCTGCTGCAGCTGCTGGGCGTTGAGGAGGAAGCGCGTCTGCTTGGGTGGGCGTGGTCGCAGCCGGACACCCATTCCCGCCATTCCCGCCTTTGGGTCCGCCTCCTCGGATGCGGTGGCTCTGTCTGAACGATAGCATTCGGTTAGATCTTCGCCAGCCAGCGGAGTCCGTTCGTCGCCCCGTCCCTGTTCCAATTTCAGCATGCACATTCGCTCGTACACAGAGAAAAAAAGGGGGTAGCATACCATTTTGTAAGCCCAATTATCTAGCCACTATTGCTGTTATTTACTTGTGGGCAGTCAAATCAGAATTATTCAACTTAGTTCATTTCATTTTTGTAAGCACACTATTTAATGTTGTTAGATAAGTTTCTATAAGTGGAATTTTAAAAGGTTTAAAAACTAAGACTAATACCGTCTTTGTAAAGGAGCTTTTTTAAAGAAATAATAGTATTCAACTAAAATCGATATTTAAGATCCATCATAAGTAGAACCCGAAATTTCTTTTATGAACCTCAGTTTTACCGCTCTTAAGGACTAGTCAAAAATGTTTGAGTAAAACCATAACAAAAATTAATACTTAAAAAAATTATGATTATATTTATGACTTTTGAAAGCAATCAAGTATTACTGGATATTAAAACAATGAGTATTTATGACTCATTAAAAACAAATGCATGATATTCAATACTTTTATATTATTTCATTGAGAAGTTAAAAAAAGTTGTTCACTAAAAACGTTTTTTTTAATTTAGTGGGCTACGAAATAGTTCATATATAGGCCTAGTGTTCAACCTAACAAAAAGTCGTCCAAAACCAAAAACTTTATATCAAAAAAACGACACAAAAATCTTTGGAAAGAAGTTTTTCTGAAGAAAAATTTGCATTTGAATAAAATCGGTTTAATTAAAAATTATTGCAGTCGCTTTGTTATTTGGTAAATGCATTTTCGAGTCTTTCATGTATTGCCCCTATCCACAATTGTTCTAAATATAGTTTTTGAAAATCTAGTCCTATTTTTCTCTGTGTAGACGCTCTAGCTCAATTGCCCCCGATTCCGTAATTCTCTTTTAAACAAACGGATCGTCTGTCGGACTGCACTTTGTGTCCATGCAATTGAATGGAATTAATTTAAAATTTCCGCGTAATCGCAATTTCGCTTGTCCTTTCCTTACGTCGTGCTCGTTTCTTGAGCTTGATTGCAATTCTTAAGGGGAAGATTCAGATAAGTCGTGGGGGAAAAGGGTAAAAAGGGTGATTTTGCGATGCCGCGGAAGGGTTAAGCCGATTTTAGCCCTCGGGCATTTGAGCACAGAGCCTTAAGCGAAAGCTAGCGGATTACAAAGCCAAATGATATAGTATCTTAACCTAAGCTTAAGATTAGACAGATAAGCAGGGTGAGTTGGTGAAATATCAGACAGTAGGAGAACACTTTGAAAACATAATTGAATATGGTTTCTAATTTTGAATAGGCGAAGTACTTTACAAAACTTAAGGTACCCATTTAATTAGGTATTCTCTCTTAAAGCGTGATTGTTGTATACAAAACATTTCCCCAAAATGATGAGTCGATCGTTTATAGATCTTGCGTATATCGCCCAAACATTTTGTTTACGCCTGTCTGAATATTTCCCAACCGCACCGTCTGCAAATCTCTGTACACTACACACGAATATGGATTAGTTTTGTTTTTCAAGCACATCGTCTCTCTCTTCGGGACACATCACACAACTAGAAGGAAACGCATGCGGAGTATATATATACAAATATCGGATGAATGCAACGAGAATACTCGAATCAAGTAAACAAGTTTTGGTTAATCAAATATATAATTTCGTTTATTAAACATTAAACAAACAACACTAAATATAATTTTCGGCTTCGTTTTATTGCTATTATATTAAGATTATTTCTTTCAATGTTTTGAACATTTAACAAAGTTTCACAAACGCAATTTGGACAAATCTTTTATAAAGTTTATTATTCAACATGAGCTGAGTGGGGGGATGCTGCATGCAACTGCAGGGGGGAAAGGCGGGTAGTGGGGTTTAGGGGTCAGGGGTCAAAGCTTTCGGTTTGTGGTTCAGGATGACCCTAGAAAGTGTTCGAGGCGGAGTGCTCGAAGTTTCGCCAGTACTTGTCGAACTCTTCGAAGATTTTCGATCGGAAGGGCGAGCTGGCGAAAAACTCGTTCAGGTTAGCACCAAATTTTCCCGGCTGGGGATCGCTGGAGCGATTTATCTGGTGGTTTGTGGTGTTCCTGGTTTCTGTGGCCTCGTCTGTGTGAAGGAAGTAGGAGGAATTCGCGCACAATGAACAATCAGAAGATAGAGAGAGATAGAGAGATGTACAAAAGAGAGAGATAGGACAACACCAAAAATCTACGGTATATGCAGGTGAGTGTATATGAACGAGATGGCCATAAACCAGATCGAGAATTACTTTCAACTTGATATTAACAGATGGGAATTTTGGTATGGTGTTCTAAGAAAACATAATATTTCGGAAAAAACATTTTATTGATACCTTTTAAGATCAAGTTGGAAAAATTTACCGTGAATATATAATAAAATGTGGGATCATTTGAGGAAGTGTATGTGAAAAATGAGGGATTACTAACTGAACTTGTTCCAGGCGGTCAGCAGGGAAAGACCCAGCAACAAAGCGGTGCCCAAGATGCCGCCGGCGGTGCTGGATGAGGGATTCGGGGGTTCAATGGGTGGTGCAGGGGACTGTACTTGGGATGGGATAGAGAATGGAGGGGAGGAGGAACCACAACCGGTAGGGGAACTGGGATTGGAGTCAGGCGATGAGCTGTGGTTACTGGTTAGTTCCAGGGGGATGTTATGACTCACGAGCCGCGTCGTTTGCGAGCGTACGCGATAAGGACGACCGCGCTTTCCCCCGGAAAACTGGCCGGGAAACTCACCCTGGACGGAAGGCGGCAGTCGGGACACCTTGTACGTCTTCACGATGCTCGTCTTCTTGGTGGCACTGCTGTGCGAATTGTCGGTGCCCTCTTCCCGGCGTTCCTGCTCCTCGTGCCGCTCCATTTGGCCGCCATCCGGCAGCTGTTCGCTGGTGGAGAACTTGGCGAACTCCCTCAGGTGACGCGGCAGCTGGCGGAGATTGGCCTCTGCCTGGCCCTCGAGTATGCGAACGGGTGGTGCCTCCACATCCGATTCCGGCTGAGATTGCCCAGCTGGCTGGGGCTGCGACTCCGCTCCACTCTCCCAATCGCTGTCCGCCGGCATGGCCAACTTGTGGCGACGCTCCTTCACCCTGTCCAGGAACTCATCGCTTATGGTCGCCCTGTCCACCGTGGAGTGATCCTGCTCATCCTCGATCTTTGATATGCGTATGATCTTATGCTGACGCCTCTCCTCCCGCTCGGCCACCTTGTTCATCCACTCCTCGGCCATTTGCTGCCGGAATACCTCATCCTCGCTCAGGGTGGGCAACTTGGCGGTGGGTCTGTAGCTTTCCCGCCTCTGAGGAGCCGGCAACACCGGAGCCCGCTGCATCTCCTCCATCAGCCGACGGCGTTCCTGCTGCAGTCGCTCCACCTCGAACTTCAGCTCCTCCTCCTTGGACAGGATGTACTTCAGCTGCTGCTCGTGCAGCTCCCTGGGCAGCGAGGATCTCCTCTGCTGGCGATCGTAGGCGGGTGGTGGCACCTGTGGTGCAGGTGCAGCCTGTTGCAGTGGAGCAGCTGGTGCTGGACTCACGCCCCTCCTCGAAGTGGTGCTGATGTACCTGGGATTGGGATCCCGCTCGATCATGGAGTAACAACTACCGTAGTGGGGACGCTGCTGCTGTTGCGCCTGGTTCAGCATGGGAGCATGGGTCCTCCTGCCTCCATACGCGTTGAAGGTATCATAGCTGTAGTGGCTGGAGCTGCTCAGGTCATTGGTGCTGGCCGAGAGTCGCGGAGCCCGGATGCCCTGGTGTGGTGTCCTCTGATTCTGTCGCTGATAGCAGATCTCCACCTCCCGGGCAAAAGGCCGAGCTATATTCTCCGAGTAACCCAAATCGCTGGCATACCGCGACCAGTCGTCCTGCACAGCCGTTGGATGATTGTAGTGACCCACTGTGGTGTGCGGACGTGGTGGTGGTGCCTCGTTCAGGTTGCACATGGATTCGGCTCTTCGGGATCGGGGCTCCAGTTCGATGGGAATCTCGCGGGTATGCGGCGGCGTGGCCTCCATCTGCCGCGGCACCGAGGACATGCGCTCCTGTCGGGATCTGGCCGATCGTTCTATCTCCTTCTCCAACTCCTGCATGTGGGCATGCCGCCTCTGCTGCAGTTCCTCCAGCTTGGGATGCTGACCCGTTCGGGTGAGGCCACTCAAATCATACAACGAGGCGGACTTCTCGCGCTTCTCCCTGGTGGTCTGCAGTTCGGCGTGCATCTGCTGCGATAGCCTATCGAAATCCTTAAACACGCGGTCTTGGTCCAGGCCATTCTGATTCCCCTCCCTCTCCTTGGGATCTCCAAAAGCATCTGCGGCGGCCTTGGCACGCTGCCGAAATTCCTCATACGTACCGTTGCCGCTTTGGTTCTCTTTCGATGGCTGGCTATTTTTAAGCGCCACGTCTCCATCAATGAAAGTGTTACCGTTTAATTTCGTTGCTGACATCATGGGCGGCGGGGGGATGGGCGGTACGGGCTGTTCCTTGGGCGGATCACCCTGCTCCTGCTTCTCATGGCTGGAGGTGCTTACATCGTAGATTACCTGACCATTCTCCAGGCGCTTCTTGGACTCATAGCTACTCGTCTCGATGTTGGAGTAGCGTTTGGTTTGAGTGACAGGATTTTGATGGCTGGGAAACTCAATGTTGGAGAAACGCTTGCGCTGCTCCTCGAATATATCGCTCTTGTGCTGGGGGAACATCCTGGCCAGCTCGCTCTCCATGCTGTCCAGCGTGGGAAACTTGGACATGGTCTCTGGATTGATGGTACTGCTGCTCTGGCGGTGCTCTGCCGACTGCTGCTGGCCATCAAGATCAGCTGCTCGCCTTGGTTTATTTTCAAGCGATGACGATTCGTTCTTCTGCTTTTGCTCGCTTGCGTCATCTCTCTTGGCGTTTTCATGAGCGGTCGCCTTGGCCGCCGTTTCGGCGCTCTTCAGCGGCACAGGCGGTGGGGGGAGAGGGGGCGCCGGCGGCGAGAGGCTCTTGCGCAACTCGCGCATCATTGCCGCCGTCCTGAGCATCTCGCTCTGTTGCTGCTCCTGCTCCCGCTGCTGCTGATCCTGCTCGAGAACCTGGGCCTTGGACAGCTCATGGTAGCCTCGACGCTCCACAAACTTTTGATGGGCATCGAGGAGGTCATCTGGCTGTGTCTGGGCATCCAGGAGTTCCCGCTGACCAGGTGAGAGGCAGACGAGGAGCTGGGGATCCGACTGAGTGGGCAGTCCCAGCCAGGCGGAGGAGGAGGACTTGCCCTCGCTGGCGTTCAACTGCAGCTCCTTGATGTGCGGCAACTGGGGCAGGGGATAGGGCATCTTGCCCTGACTGACTGGCGATTGATTCGCTATGTTCTGGGCCACGCTGGCTAACTCCTCGAGCACCTGTTCGCCATAGGGCATGGAGGCCAGCTGCTCGGTGCAGAGAAGGCGCAGCTTCTTGATGGCATCCGTATCCAAATCCGAATCTGCAACTGAAAGCTCTGGCTCTGATTGGGGGGTGGGTGCAGCGGGTGGAGCGGGTGATGGTGTTGGTGGTGGTGCAGGCTTTTGTCTGAGTGGCGGTGTGGGTGGCTGGGTGGTTGTGGGTGGTGGACTGGCCATGTGGATGGCTGTGCATTGGCTGTGGGTGGTGCTGTCGGAGCAGTGGGAGTCATTCGACTCCTGCCGCTTCAGCTGCTGGGGGGTCAGGTGGAACGAGGACAACTCGGATTGGGGACTGTAAGGCGGTACTGTGGCGGGGGGTGGGGGAACGGGCGGTGGCTGAGGCGACGGCGAACGCGGCGTTTCACCTTGCTCCTCCTCGCGGCGCGTCATCTCGATCAACTCGCGCACTTTGTCCATGTTGCGAACGAACTCCTCGCGCGTGGCCGCTAGCGGCGATGCTGTCCCGAAACTAACCGCCGATCCACCAGATACATTTGTATCTTTTGCTAATTGCTCGCGTTCGTCGATCGTGGGCGTCGCAGTCGGCGTCGGCGTCGGCGTAGCGGCGCTCAGCAGCGAAGAAAGCGAACTAGCAATTGTCGGGTTAACAGGTGTGCTCTCGCGACTCTCCTCGGCCTCTCCCCCATCCTCACCCTCTCTCTCCGTCTCCGTTTCCGTTTCCGCTTCCGTCTCACTTCTCTCCGCCGTCGTGGTGCTGGTGCTGCTCATCTCATCATCCGGCCGATGAATCAACCGACTGGCATCCGTATCCAAATCCACCAGTGCCCTCTCCGCCAAGGCGGCCGCCTGCTCCAGTTCCAGTTCCATGAGATCGGAGACACTGCTGGAGGCCGATGAGCTAAGGTACACCAGTTCCGCATCCTCGGACTGCGGTGACAGGGCGCTCTGCAGTCGGGTGCAGCTCTCCAGATCAGCTGACTCCTCCAATAGCTTCGTTTCCAACTTCAGAGGCGTAGGTGCCTCCTCCCGTCGCTTGTGCCGCCGGCTAAAGTCCAACTGACTCCGGGGAAAGGTCTCGTTCAGCTTGGGCGTGCGATTCCCCGCCTGATCGCCACTGCCACCAGAGGAGGCGGAGGCCGTGGAGTTGCGGAAACTGGTTGCCTCGCCGTTCTCCTCCAGGATGCTGTCCAGATAGCGCGGATTGAGCAGCTGCGGCAGGAAGTGCGACTCCAGAGCGTTCCGTTTCTGGGCACGCTTCTGACGCAGCTGCTCCTGCTGCTCCACGCGGCTAGTGGACGGCACCTGCGGATCAGACGGAGATCGCTCAGCTCCCAAGACTGCAGATCCCTCTGATTCCGAGTCCGCTTCGCAGACGAGCGGCGATTGCAGTGAGTTGAACTCCCCAGAGCTGCAATCGCTGGTCAGTTCCAGCTCCTGGATTTGCACATCGCGGGAGAAGCGGGAAAACTGACCACCACTGGATACATTCTTGGGTGACTCCACCAAATAGCGGGGTGGTGGCGATAGGGTTCCGGCCAGAGAGCCGGAAGTACTGCTGATCTCCTCAAAGGTGGGCTTAGCCTTTCCTTCGCGGTCTCCATCGTTGGTTTCCAGGTGTATCTGGTGGATAATCACCTTGGAGGTGGTCAGTTGGTTGGGCAATTGCTGGGGAAGAGGATTTTGAGCTTGGTGGATATCCTTTTCTGGGATTTTCTCTAGGGATTTTAAAGCAATTTCAACATGTTGCTGCTGGTCCTTATCCAGTACAGGTGCAAAAGCAACATGTTGCTGCTGTGATTCCTGTTGATCTTGTGCTGCAAGTTGCTCTTGTTGCGGTGTTGTTTGATGACTTTGCACTGCAGCAACATGTTGCTGGTGTGCATTTTCTACAAATTCCATGGCTTTCTCAAGTTGCAGCACATATTGTTCGGGTTCTTTGGGTTCCTGTTTTAAAGGTTCCTTTGCATAATCCACTTCATCTGACTTTTGGGGGATCTGATGATCATCGTTTCCAACATTAGAAGCTTGCAGATTTTCTTCAACTGCAATATGTTGCTGCTGTGCATCCTCTAATAACTGACTAGTTTCAGGAAGTTGCTGTTGAGTTGGGGGTTCCTTAGTCTCCAGTTCTTCCGACTTCTTGGGTTCAACTACCTCCAATTGCTGCTCTTTGGATTCCACAACCTTGTGTTGCTCCGGTGATTCAGCTTTGCCATTTGCCTTGTCCTCTTCCCTCACCACACGATGAACTATGACCTTGGCTTGACGGGGGCTGCCGGGTGGCCTTCTTATAATGGTGGGTGGTGGACGCACCTGCTCTTCGGCTTTTCCATTGGCCGCCTGCTTATCCGCCTTTTCCTTGCGATGTTTTGAGTTTTTGGCACCCATTTCTGCGTCCAAATCTTCTTCTTTTTGGATGACTGTTGCTGGTTTCTCGGATGATTCTTCTTTTTTTCCCTCCTCGCTTTTCTCAAGAGTATTCGTCACCTTTTGGATGTTTTCGGCTGGCCCATTTGAAACGCTGCCAGAATTTCCATTATCATCTACGGAGGATAAAGATGTGTCTACTGATTCGATCTGTAAATCCTGCTGCTGCTCCTCCTCCCGATCCTCCGCCCCCTCTGCCTTTAGATGATTGTTTGGATTTGGGTTTTGATTTTGATTTTGATTTTGGTTTCGATTGCGTTTGTTGCGACTGCGATTGCGATTACGATTGCGGTTATTGGGCATCGTCTAAGGCACTTTCGCTCGATTCGAACAAATGCAGTTTCCTATATGGATTGAGATATGTGTGTGCGCGTTCGAGTGCTTCGTGTTTCGTGTTTCCTAATCAGCCAGAATCTATAGTACAACTAAATTTTGTTTCGTTTTTTGTTTCGCTTATTGTCGATGTCGCTTATTTCTAGTGCCCTCTGTGTGTGTCACTCGTCGCCAGAAACTCAACCAGAACTGAACGGAGAACCGACGACCGGCGGCATTTTGCTGCTCACAACGACAGCCGGCAAAAATACAAAAAAAAAATAAAGGAAATAAATAAAAAAAGAGCACTACGTGGGGAAAATCATATAAAACAGCGACGTCGCTGTCGCTGCTGGCGTCGCTGCCGCCCCGCCCACCGCACGCCGCCCACCGCCTGGCACGCGTCCGAAATCGTTATGTTTTGAGGTTTATTTTTCGCCGCCTTTGTCTCCGATTGTCGCGAATTGTTTTGGCCAAATTAAATTGCGTTTTGAATACAGAACATTGGCTGCGAATATGGGGTGATTTGAATTTTTAAAAAATGTATCTTTTTTGATTTTAGAATCGCGTTTCCCGCTTCTCGTGGCGCTGGCAACCGACGGACAAGGAATGGCCCATGGGCTTTCCACGATCTCAGCCGGGAGCCAGCTCCCCAGTCTCCCACTCACACACTTTCACACACACACACCGCCCCATTCGGTTGCACAGTGGCAAGTATTTGAAAAATATACACATAGAAAGGAAAATCGGGAAAATTCATAACGATACTCATTTTCATTTTCAAAATACATACAGAGAAAACAGAAAAAATATAGAGAGAGTGGGGAAAATAGAGAGCGTAAGAGTGTTCTGGGAGAAATGTGCAAAACCAAAACAGAATGCAGGGTATTCCAAAGACCCCATAAAAATACCCAAGAGACCGAAAAAACAACAATATGACTTCTAGGTCAATGCAATTTCCACAAGCCAAACAAACTCATAAACTCAAATCACGAGAAACGTATCCTACGTTTCGAAAATGTATTTGACGCATCCATAAATATTAGAATATTCTTTTGGAACACGTACATAATTTGTTTGTGGAATTTCAGCTAAAGCATATATGCTTTCGAAAATAAATTTTTGAAAATGTCACAAAGACATTTTTGTATCTTGAATTTCAGTTGATAAATGCTCAAGAATGAAAGATGTCAGGTATTAAGGGAAAATAAATTATTTAAAGGTCAGTTAAAATCAGAAAAACAATCATTAGGCAATTTGGGAATGTTAAATATTACATATTTTAAGTGTTTAATTTGGACAAAAGCTGCCTTGCAATATGCCCAAAAAAAACAAATGCAGGGCATTGAAGAAGAGAACTCAATACGGAAATAGTTTGCCACAGTTCGAGTTTGCCTATATCTTCTAACCAATGTGTGTGTGTGCAAGTGTATCTGATGAGTCTGCGCCGGCTGTGTATCTATATACAACTTATGGCATTTTCAAGATATTTTTCGTGCGTAATTTCTTTGATTTCTGTGGTCACAAGTCTCTGCCTGCTGCTCTGTACTCTTGAATAATTGAAGGAGCATATATCCACGCGTATAGGGTATATATATAGAACTTGCATGTATCATCCCAGTGGGCCATGCGGTTAGTAGTATTTCGCTTTTATTTATAAAGGTACTTAATGGCTTTCAATTTCTCTTGTTCTGTCTGGCCTCTCCATCAACTTCCTCATCTCAGAAAAAAACTAAATTGAAGTAATTTCAGTGGGTCTGTCAGGTGCCAGACGATCCATACACGTGATGTGATGGGGTTTTTGAGCCCGGGCATTATGCAATTTCTGCACTGGGTGACAGACACTGGGTTTCCAATTAGGAACCACTAAAACGATCACTTCCCCCAGACAGAACCCACACTTAATACTAATGTATGTATTCTCAATTGGTTTGGGTTTCCGTTTGACTTTCGTTTTGGGCCTCGTTAAGTTGCCCGAATCACTGACGTACACCCAAGTAGCCGCTATCTATATCTATGAGGAACCGTTGTAGTGGCTTCTATTTTTCTGTATTTCTTGCCTCATAATATCAACAAAATTGATTTCTCCGCCTCGTTTTATTTGCCGTAGAACATCGCACATTTTAGTTATCTTTTCTGGGTTATCGCTGATAAATTTTGCATTTTTTGATAAAGAAAATGGTTTTCTTTCAATGGAACCGAGGTTGGTTGGCTTAATGCAGTGAGGTGAAGTATGCTTCTTGGAAATTGATTAAAGATGGGACTTTTATTGCTAAAAGAAAACATAGAGGGGGTCATCAAAAGAAGTCTTTCATTGAGATTTAGTTCAAAAAGCTTGATTGACAGAAGATCTAAGATTTGCTTTTCGCTTGGTTAAGATTTATGTATGAGTCAGAAATGTAATAGTTTATTATATCTTTTTTTGTAATAAAAATATTTTACTGAGATTTTAATAAAAAGACAAGAAAGGCTAATGGGTTTTTCTATTAGAACTACAACGATATCAATCTTTAAGATTTGAAAGCATAATAATAATATCATATGATTAGATCATAGCTTTCAAAGTTTTCTAAAAGCTTAACTTGATTATTTCTTCAAGTTTTATAATAACAATTTAATGGGTAATTTGATTGAACTTAAACGTTTTTCCTCTCTAAATTTTCCTTTCACTGAGTTCTTTCCAATGCTTTTCGCCACACTCTCCATTCACTCAGCATTCACTATTTGTCATTTGTGTTGTTTCAGGGTATTCCGAGTGTTTGGCTGCCTGCCGATTTGTTGGCTTTGCACTTATGTTGTTTGGGGTATTTATGGGTATGGGTTCGAGATACATTCATACTCTCGGCCACAGATACAGATACAGATACAGATACACTGGGCTCTTCGCCTTTGTTGTTATTGCTGCTAATTAGCATAGGTTTTTTAGAGTCTTGGTGCTGTTTGCTTATTTATTTGGGCAGCGCCGAGCGATTTGTTCTCCCATAACGAGCCGAGCACATGTCTGTTTTCCTCTCTCTCCCTACTTATTGTTTGTTTGCCTTTTACACAACACACACACATAGATAGTATTAACACAAACAATCTGCTTAGTACATTAATTTATGAATCGCCCCACAAGAACATCGAACCCGCTCTGACGTCACGTTCTTACAATTTAATTCCCAATTAATCGCAAATCGTCGGCATCGGCGAAAAAGCGAAGAAGCGTTGCATCAAAGGCCGCGAACGTGAGCCAACTGAATTGCAAGTGCTACAAAGAAACCGCCGACGACCCCACTGTCTCCGCCGCACAGTGGGCCTCATTCTGTTATCTCCGCCACACATTCTAAAATCGTATAATGATCTCAGTGCCTCGCATCCAAGTGCCAAAGTTTGCGCGTAATTGCCAATGTTTTTTCGCTAATAACAGTAGTTCTATTAGGTTGATATAAACAAACACACTAACACTGCCCTATTGCGTCAGTTTTAGCAGGTTTTCCCAGTCGCTTTTCCTTGGCCGAAGTTAACACACACACAGAGGGAGTTAAATAAAGAAAAGCTAAACAAAAAACACAAACACTGGGGTCTATTTTTATAGGGCGCACTCAATCGGCGACTCGAAAACCACAACTGAGGGGTAAAAATCACTACAATTCCGGTGTCGAGTGTGTAGTGCAGTGTAATTTCCGATAGCTATACTATATCTATAGCTCTCGCTCTCGATCGACACAACGTCAAAGTCGAAGTTCTAGTGCCCAACTGAAGCCGAAGCTCCGAAAGCTCCCCCGTACACCTGGAAATACACGACACAAGGTGGCTGTTGTAGATAAGTTTCTGTTCCGACGAAGCCTTCAACTTTTGCTGATTCTGATGGTCGGCCATCTCGCTCTCGCACTGGAATCGATTGCAAATCGGCTTCCGACAGCTTCTTATTTGCTGGGCTCTTGGTATCGGACATTAGAAATGTTTTGGCACTGCGCCAATCCGTCGACAGCTGGAAGCAGCTTTCGATTTCTGGAATAAACAGAGGGGTCTCGACTTGCGGAGCATTTGGGGAGTGCTATTTTGGCTGGCTGCCATGAAATCATAAGCAAAATATAAACCTGATTAGATGGGAAAGTTAAGGTTAAACGGGTTGTTTTGAGTGCTTTGATACCCCCTCACTTTCAAGGCAATGCAATTTGTTAAATGTTAATAGTAAAACAACTGATGTATGGTGTTCTTGTTTATGTTAGGTTTCCGGCAAGTTCTTCAGTTTTTACATTTGTTTACTTATCTTGATTGTCTTGCGGTGCTGGAATTTTTGTAGCTAGTCCAACTATTAAATACAAATATTTGGAATTTCAAAGTCATATAAACGAAAATCAAAGTGGTAGTAAACCCAAATGGAAACATTTTTAAGGCATTTCTTCACTATGAAACTTAAATATTTAACTGTAACAATTGAAGTTTTAAGCAGAAAAATCTCTAGTGATTTTCATAACTAGTTCAACATTTTTAGAGATCTTTCTTACTTTGTAACAAATTTTAAAATTATTGTTCTCCAGGTTTCTTTGAGATTCTATGAAAACCGTATCATATATTAAAGTGTAAAAGTATTGCATACTTTTTGGTGTTTTTCTGTGATTTTTAATCAACTCAGTTTTCATATTTGGATAAGCACCTATGCTTTTAATTTGTTTTCACCATTCACAAGTTGTTCATCACTGCGACTTTCACTAGTCTGTAACCACATATTGATCAAGATTTATTAGGAAATTATTACCACATTTTCCACTACTCTCTAATCACTGATTTGCCTTTGTTGTGGCATGATGTTAACTTATCGTACAACATAGGCCGACACAAATCAGGAAAAGATAAGAACATTTCGCACAGCAAACTCGAAAATGTTTATCAGTATTTATTCAAGCATTTGCTTTATGATTTATTTGAGAACTTGAACGTCAGAGCAACCCACGAATTATATAACCGAAACGTTTGCAATCCCAAATTCTGAAGTCATCTCTTTGCCAAATAACAAATTCACGTTAATTGCATTGTCGAAAATTCCGTTTGTGCTGCTCTTTCAGATACTGAATCACAATTCAATACTGAAATTCTGTTTATTGCCAAAAAGCCAGTCGGCTGCGTCAGCTGAGCGGCGGCAAAACGACTTTATAGATAGCCACAAACCGGCTGGCAAAATTATCATAATGAAATAATGGCCAAGCGACACAATGGTCAACGGTTTTGGAAAGGTTCGGTGGGGGTCGAACTGCGGGGGCGCTACCAGAAAAGTAAACCTGACGCCATTAGCAGGCCGCTTAAGTCGAGCTTTTGGAGGTAATAGCTGGTCTAAATTAGCCGCAAATGGGAACAGAAACGGAGAGGCGGCTTTTAGTCGTTTTATGGTTTTTTAGCCATATGTAACCACTTTATAGCATTTTATTATTCTCTTAATTTTTACAGGTTCCTGTATCATAGTTTTATATCATTTTACAAAAAAGGTTGTTCATACATTAGCACTTTGAAATGTTAATTAAGGCAATAAATTTGATTATTAAGAGATTCTTGAAATATTTTTCGAGCCTGCAAAAATTAAATATTTTGAAAATAGTTCTATAAACCAAAAATCATTTCACCTACAAATTACCAAATTGTGGTGATACCAATATTTGAACTTTACTTTAAAAACAATTTTGCGTTCACCTAAAAGTATGCTTCACAAATTGTATTTAAAAATAATAAGAAACTGCAACAAATGCATTCTTGCTATGTATTAACAATAACCTTATCTTTCGTTTTCAATAAATAGTTTGACAGTTAATGGAAAACTAACAAAAAATATAATAATTTAAAAAAAACGTAAATTATGTTATTGTATATTCCATAGACGTATAACCACAAATAGATACAAACTCAAAGAGGAGTGAGAAAATATTAATTTAAATCTTTATTTTTAGACCCCTTTTCTACCTCAATTAGAAGGCGGAACCAAAAAACAAAAGCCCCTTAACCACAACAATCGATCGCAATCACTCATTTATGCCCCCTGGCTAAGTAAAGTGACAAAATCCATTAAAATTGATACTCCACAAACAAATTGAGTAGCCGCACAGGGGCAATTTGGCCTAGGTAACCAGATACATCGATAGCTACCTCCCAAAATCTATGGATTGAGCTGGCCCAAAGGGCACCAATTGATTGAGGAGTGTTTCCCGAGCCAATGACCGCACTAGATTGAGTCACCATCGAATGATGACGTTGATTTCGTTAAATTGTTTACGAATTATAAGTGAGTTGTCTTGGGACAATGAACAGCTGGTGTTTAAAAATTTAGGTGAGGCCCTGAACTAGGTCGCCTTTCTTTTATAATCGATTGAAGTAAACAAAGAGCTTGTCGCTCTAAAAGGTTCTCGGTAACAATATCTATTGATTTCAGTTTATTTTTAGTCATGGCAAAGTACTCAAGAAGGCATTTCCGATTTAATGTGAAATAAAATTTCGGTGTAAAGAGCTCTTCTACCTCTTTAAACTTTTTAATGGCCTCATGAATGGCCGAGCCAGCCTAAATAATATTTTTTTAAACATTTTCTGGTGCGCGCCAGGCACCATCAGACTCTTTCCTTCTCTTTCTTTTAGTGTCTTTTTATCGCTTCTAGCAATTGACAATAACTTTTGTTTGTGTTTTGGCTGGGCAAATAAAAAACCCAAACACACACACATGGGGTAATAACAAAAATTTTGACTTTTCGCCAGCTGAGGCTTATCAAAAATGTAGCCTAGCGGTAAACAAAAGCAGAATAAATAGTAGTAGTACATAGACAATGTTCGCTATTTGCCTTGGCTTTCTTTCGGTTCGGCGATAGAAGAATGCCGAATTGAGAATTATAATTAATCGTGAGCGAGCTCGGGGAGTGCCGGACAGCCAATTGAATTACGAATTCCACTCGGGCTGACCCACTGGGACCTAAATTAATTATAAAAAATATAATTTTCACTATTAAATCAAACCCGAATTCCGGGACATTCACAATACCGGCTTCATTTGCATGCACCACACACTCACAACACTGACATCCGGTCATTAGAGACCTAATTGAACTGTGACCAACTGGGGGAAAAAAAGGGTTGCACTGTATAATTTAAAACAAATTATAAAGATATATGCACAGACAGATCTATATAAGGCGGTATTTGTGCCATTTTTGGGGTATGATTATCACCAGACGCACACAGGCAATGATTAACCCAAATTCGGTCTGCATTTGCCTATCAGCTGAATTTTAAATCGGAACCCGATAATCAAAGAGAGCTC